TCGCCCGACACCGCATCAAGAGGCGCCGAGCATCGAGTGCCACCAGTTCGATTGGGGATCACAAGTGCCCGTGGCCCGTTGTTTCGAAATATTGTTGAGCTACGTGAGCTAATGCCCTGTAAAGTTTTTTTTTTTTTTTTTTTTTTTTTTTTGGTCTACGTTGGCCGAGGTTGATAATTCGCATGCGCCCCCAGGTCTCAGAAACCATCACGCGTTTCTGGTTCAAGTTCAAACCGCTTGGATGACATCGGGGCACTTGGGCCGAGGGGTGGTGGGGACGGGTGTCAGGAGGGCCCTGAGGGGCCTTCCGATGGCGGGCTGAGCGGCTGGCCTTCTCCCGACAGCCAGGCTGGTCCATTCTGGGCCTCGAGCGGCCGTCACCGAAGATGTTTCCCGTGGGGGTTGGGGGTTTGGGGTGGGAGTGAGGGCGATGCAAGTGTCCTTCTCATCTCTCTCTTCCTCGTCCTCCTCATGCTCTCCCTGCTTCTCCCCCTGACTCCCCTTCGTCATCCTCCTTGGGGCCTCCACATCCTTGGAGCCCCCCATCTCCGCCTACCCGACCACAGCCCCGCAAACAAACCGCCCACCCACCACCCGCCCACCGCCCACCCACCACCCGCCCAACACCCAGCTGCCACCACCCACCGCCCACTATCCACCCACCGCCCACCAACCACCCACCCACCACCCACCCACCACCCATCGCCCACCCACCCGCCACCCACCCACCCACCGCCCACCCACCACCCACCCACCACCTACCCACCCATCGCCCACCCACCACCCACCCACCACCCACCCACCACCCACCCACCACCCACCCACCACCCACCCACCACCCACCCACCCACCCGTCAGCAAGCTGCGCGTTGATCAAAGCATTGGGCCTCCATCCTCCATCCATGGGCTCTGCGCCTCGCCGCCGCCACCCGCGAGGGTCGCGGGGCTACGTTCGAGTTGCATGACTTTTTAGTTCAGGACGTTATGCTGCGATCTATCGCCAGGCCGCTAGGGTGGCCCATCGGCGGCGCAGCAACACGCTCCCTTCTCCATCCTCATCCCCCTCCCGACTCCACTTCCGCTTCCGCATGCTCCTTCGACAGAGGGCGCGCGATGGGAGCACCCACCCCTTCCAATCTAAGCTTGGACGTCAAAACAAACAGCATCGTCTTTCTCCACCTGGGGCCTGCATTACCCTCCGCAAACATCTACCCCCCCCGCATCTCCTCCATCGTTTTTTTTGGAGGCGCACGCAATGCTAGGCTGTGCAAGCAGGTGGGTGGGCAACCGTGCCCATCGAGCGGGCTCATAGTTAGTCCCCATTGCGACCCCCAGGTGCTGGCGAGCTGGCGCTCAGATAGACTGCCCTGGCATCGGCTTGAAGCCGAGTCTGGTCAATGTCTCCGACACCGACCAAGCCATTGCAGAAGAGGTCGGTCGTTTGTTTGAATTCGATCCAGAGCCAAACCCTAACGGTGTCACAGTCGCCTCCGAATGCGCGTGTTGTCAATCTGGCTTGTGCCCCACAGATTATTACTACGAGTACGTGCGCACAGGTCAAATAACGGAGCGGAAACAACTTGTCTCCCTAGCAATGTGCCCGCTTCTTCTCTCTCTCTTTCTCGCTCCCCACCCCGCCAAGTTTAAGTTGTTGTGGTCGTTGAGGTCCTTGGGTTCGGACGGCGCCGCACTGCGCACCACCAGGGCATGTGCCAAAATCGATGTCAAGGCGGGGTGGGGAGGAGGAACGGGGAGGGGCAACGTGACTGCCCGACCCCATTAACTGTTCTTGAATAGCGTGGCACATATCCCACTTCCAGGAGGGCGGCGGCGTTGACTTAAAACCCAGCGGGGGGGAGAGAGGGAGAGAGAGAGATAGAGGAGGGAAGCGGGACACGTTCCAGGGAGTCAGTTGTTTCGTGCGCCTGGTAGGCACCCGAAACTTGTATATGCACCTTTCGGCCCTTGGCGTCAAGCACACGTCGTTGCCCCTCCATTTGCAGTTTAGCGCAGCTGGTGTTGAGTCAAACGTTCTCCTCACGTTCAAGTATGGCGTCGGGGACTTTTTGTGCGTTGCCAGGGTGAAGGTGTTTCCAAGTGGCAGCTGGGGGTTGGAGAGACACGCCCAAGGGAAAATCATTTCTATGCCGTCGCATCTCCTTCTGAAGGAATTTCTGATAGAGGCTCGAGGGAATAACGGTGGTCACCCGCTTCGTGTAACAAGGCTTGTTATAAGTAGGCTGGTCAGGGCTCCTCGTGAGAACAATATCGAGTTTGCTTATTTCTTGGATGAGTGGTCTACCCTGGACCTGGACTTAGTCACGCAACAAAAAGCTAAGAAACGAAAAACAGGCGACCCCAAACCTTGGATGCCGTTCGGGCTGAGTTTTGACGGACCTGATGGGCCAGCGCCACCACCGCCTGGACCTGAACATCCCCACGGGCTTCCTGGACGCGGAGGGCTGGAGGCGGCCGACGGCGAGTTTGGGGCAGAGTCCGACGCGTCTGACTTGGGAGGTGAGTCTATCATTCCAGAATGCACATCCAGTGATGAAGGGGGATTCGATGCCTGAGCCTGAGTCCGATGGCCCAGGGCTTGATGAGCCGCCGCCGCCGCCTTTGCCACCACCCCCTGTCGGCCCTCATGGTGAGGAGGCTCATCCATGGGTGTTGGCTGGCCTGATCGGATACGGGAGAGCTCCCACGAACCGAGCCGCGCGTGGGATCTGCGGGAAGCCAATCGAGAAAGGCACGTGGCGAGTTGAGCATCGGATGACTAACAGCATTAATGCACATACCATGTGGAACGTCAGGCGAATCCACATTCATTGCGTCCAATTTTTGCCAGCAGAGCTGAGGCGAGCTAACTTTTTAGTTGCCCAAGATTGGTCCAATCGCCATGGACTCAGTTTGCAAGAGCAGGGGGTTCTCGATGAGCTTGTGGACCTGCTCAGAGACGGGCACGGCGCAGCTTCAGGCTCTGGCTTGCCCCCTGGCGCGCAGGCCTTATCATGTTGGGAGGAGGGGAGAGGATGTGAGGGATGGCGTGGCTCGTCGGAGGGGGCAGTGCAGCTGCGCCAGGCCAGAGGTCGGCAATGGCCTCATGCACTGCTTGAGTAGACCCATGCAGGTGGGTCGAACTTGCTCGCGCCGACAGGCCGAACTCACCCGAGAGGGGCCGCTGGCTCCAGAACACGCTCCAGAACAAACTCCAGAACAAAATTTGTTCTGGAGCATGTTGAAAAACCCTGTGTTTTTTTTTCAGGTTGTGTGATCTCCAGAACATTTTTTGTTCTGGGGGCGACCTCCAGAACAATATTTGTTCTGGAGCTAGGGTGGTGCAAGTCTGGCAGTTTGAGGCGGCCTGCACGGTGCAAGCGAGTTAGTTTTCGAAGCCGTCGGCGGTGCACGATCGCGCAGTTGAGCTTGCAGCCCGCAAGAAACTATGCAAAATATTTGCACGCCCGTGCCGATCAGAGCCACTAGGGTTCGGGCCCAGGTGTCTGACTGTCTTGAGACCGACTGGCGTATGAGGTCGCAGCATCGTCTTGTGAAGCCCTCTTGGTCCGCGTGGAGCCCGACGCGCGCGTCATTAACATTAGCATCGGGCGTGGTCGCAAGTAACGCAAGCTAACGCAGTTGTAAGCATTGGCATGCAGCATGACACATTCCAAAGGCAACGCAAGCAACGCAGGCCAAGCGCACATCAATCATCAGTCGCATCAAGCATGCTCAGAGCATTAGCAACAGCAGCAACCATATCCCACCATAAATATCGTTGCCTGTCTGGCTCCAAGGATCCCTCTCCGAGCGGCCCTGCGCACTCCCAGTCAGTGTCGCTTGCCAGCCAGCACTTCCGACCTCGCAGCCTCAGCTCTCAGCCTCGATGGCGCCACCTCGTTACATGCGGACGCTTCGCCCAGCGCAGAAGCGATATGTCAAGAAGCTGGAGCGGGCGCTGGATAAGGAGAGGCTGCGCAATTTACACCTTGCAAAGCGGCTTCGCAAGATGTCGACCCAGATGCGCAGGATCACGCGTGTTTCAGAGGATGCTGTTGCCAACGATCTCATTCAGTATAACGCTCAGCGTGCAGAACTCGAAGTTCTCGACGATCTTGAAAGCCAGGCTGCGGCGGCAGACATGATTCTTGACGGCGGCGGCCTCTATGCTGAGTCACATGGTGAGGACGTTGGCCCAGTCAACCCAGTCGGTGAGGGTGAGGATGACGGTGGTGAACCGTCAGAATCTTGAGGTTGCGCAGGCCTAACCCTTGTTAAACATCGATTGCTGCTCACGTTGCGCCTCTCGCTTGAGCCAGTGCAGCGTTGAGCCTTGCGCGCCTCTGGGGCCACGCTAAACGTATGAGTGTGCATCACCATCATCCATCGCATCATTGGCTTGACGCAGTCATCATCGTCATCATTGCATCATCGCTATCCTCGACAAGGGTCCAAGGTATCATCGTCACCATTGCATCATCATTGCATCATCGCTATGTCGACCTTGGTCCAAAGGTCCAGGGCGTTTCTTCGCCGCGCCGAGAGCATTCGAGTCGGGCCCTGATTGGCCTCTGTCCCAACCTTGATCCCGCCTGCGGGGCACTGGCATTGAGGGGGGATGAGGAGTCACAAGCGATCCAGACTAAGTGAGGTTCCAGAGTTCCAGAGCAACGCAAACCAAATACAATTGTGCCAGGAAAGGTGCGCTCCCAGAGGGCCTGAGGGTCTGCCAGGGAAACAGTTTGACACGATAAGGCAGCAAATTAAACCTTACACTAGACAGCAAAGCGAAGCAACCCTTAAATCAGCCAGAGCGTCCTCCTTCAGGTGGCGTGCTGTGTGTGTGGTGTGGTGACCTGTGTGGTACATAGCCCATGTTGGGCTCAAGCCTTTGAGGCTTTGAGGCCGCCCGAGCCTCGCGCGGGCCTGGCCCGCGCCTGGGCCACTGGCCGGCGGCCTGCCTTCTCGCTTCTGGATTCAGAACTACAGAGCCCAGCGGCATGGGCAAGGGGCCCAGGTCTTCTGCTTCGGGCCGAGCTTCGGGGAAGGCCGCCAACAGCGTCGGCGTCGGTGGCAAAAAGAAGAGGATGACCTGGCAAGAGGAGATCGCAGCTGCTCCACCAAAGCTCTGCGGATCTTGCGAGCAGATGGCGGGGGAGATCGACAAGCACGGTGATGGGGAGATCAGAGTTAAGTGGCATCGTGCAGAGAGGAGCCGCACGTCGGGGGAGGTCTACTTGACGGGCGATGAGTGCTACCACTGCTGGGACACTCGGAGGCGGTACTTCGAGGATGACGTCAAGACCCTCAACAAGAAGAGGCAGGATAACAGCTCCCTCGACGCTCGCTACAGCTGCTCGCGGAAAGATAGGGTGTTGAAACTTGGGGAGTACAAGCACGAGGAGAAGAAGACTGCTGACGCCTGGATCACCGAGATCGAGGCTGAGTTCTGCGAGGCTTTCGAGGAGGGCGCCTTCTACACTCTCCAGCGCTTCTGCAAGTCGCAGAAGATCCAGCACACCGAGGACGACAGTGATGACACCTTGATCAGGAAGATCCGCAGGGTGTGGCCCAACATGGGGATCAAGAAGGACAGCAGGCTGAATGCGATAGGCTGTTGGTACGTCAACGACCCCAATCCGAACCAGGGCAACTACAAGTTCCGCAGAGGCGCCAAGCAAGATATGCAGACAGTCAAGCGTACGAGGTGCGCCGACGATGAGATGCTCGGTGAGGAGTGCAGCGAGGCGAAGACGAAGAAGGGGAAGCTGGTCGGCCTGGGGGAGAAAGTTGCCGTCGCACAGCGGCGTGACTCAGGCGAATGCGATGTCGCCGTCTTGAGCGACGTGGAGAGCAGGGGCAGCGACGACAGCGACGACGACGACAACGGGCGGCAGGAGCAGCAGGAGGACTCGGTGATCATGGCGTCTTCAGCGGGCGGCGGCGACAGCAGGGCGCCTCGTTCGAGCCCGAGAGGAGCCAGCGCCAAGGCGGCGGCGGCAGGCCCTGAGGGCGGCGACAGCGACGCCGAGGGCGGCGGCCAGAAGCGCGGCGGCGGGCTAGCCCGCGGAGAGGTGCGGGGTCCACCAGCACACCGCTACGGCATAGAAGTAGCCCCTCCTGCTCGTCCTCCCTCCTCTCTGCTCCTCTGCCTCCGCCCTCATCCCCTCCTCTTCCTCCCGCTCATTCCATTCTCCTTGTCTCCCACTCTCTCCTCCTCTTCTTCCTCCTCCTCATCCTCCTCCTCCCGCTCCCTAGATTGTCTCCCCCCTCCTCTGGCCTCCCGCAGTTATCCTTGTCCTCCTCCCCCTTCTTCTCCACGCATCCTCACTGCGTCCATTTTGGATCTCGCCGATTCCTGGAACATATGTTTTGCTACCAGCCCCGATTGGTTCTTGGGGTAAGGTAAGGGCTCGGGGGGGCAGAAAACGTGGGTCTTGATCTATCGGATGCCACGGGCCGTTTTGCGGTGGGCTTGGTGGCCCTGAAGGGCGCTGGCAAGCAGAAGGCGACCCCGCAGGGGGCTGCGATCAGGAGGCACGCCAAACTCATGGCGAAGGTGAAGGAGAACCACACCGAGGAGCTGGAGTGGAGCAAGCGGCCGAAGACCAGGGTTCACGACTCCGTCATCAACTCCTTGGCCAAGTCAGCCCGCGAGCTGGCCAGGTTCACTGGCGACAAGGACTGCTCGTCATTGTCAGAGCAGGCTGGCAGGACAATTTCATTGCTGGGTCAGCGGCTCTCACTGTTCGAGGAGATCAAGAACTCGACCGCCGCGATCGCCCAGAGGACGACGACGAGCGCAGAGCACCAGGTCATGCTCGGTTGCGCGGTGCGGCTGCGGGCGCAGATCGTCCAGCAGGCGTCTTTTTCGCTTGCGGGTACCCACCCACCGCTGATGCTGCAGCCGGCCGCCTGCCCTCGAATCGAGATGCCCGATCAGGACTCAAACCCGCACACGTGGCCTCGCATCGACAAGTTGTGCCTCGGGCTGTTGCTGGAGAACGTTCCTTCAGGGGAGGAGCTCGCCGCGGCTGCATCGTTGGCAGTGCGAACTCAGACGGCCATCGTGAGCGACATGATCGAGCGGATTGTCCTCGAGAGCCCGTCGGAGCAGAAGTCCTTGGAGATGATTGCCGAGATCAAGGCCGCCCTGGGCGAGGACTTCACCCCTTTCGACTTTGATGTGACAGGAACTGGCGATGCTGAGCCCGAGCCCCACGCCAAGTGCGGCCTCTTCGAGCAATCCTACGTGGACATCTCCGTGCTCATCGTTATCGGCGACGCCATCGTCTGCATGAGCGCAGGGGCTACTGTCGCTGGCGAGCTGCGCAAGCAAGCCAAGAAGATGCTGTCTGTCGTGTCATCAATTTCGACTCGCGTCCGCAACCTTGCCTTAGCTACAGTGAAGGGGGGCATCAACAACAACATTTTCAAACGTGGATGGGCGCAGCTATCCGAGATGTTCCCGAATGATACAGGCTTGGACTCGTCGCAGGACGCCGCGGACGCAGCCGCCAAGTTCAAGACAGTCATGGTTCAGAAGGTTGAAGAGGCGGCGGCGGCCGTAGGGGACTCGGCGGACATCGCGTACAACGTTGTGGTGGACTTGTGTGGCGATTACGAAGTGGCCATCACTGAGAAATTCTGTTCCTTGTGCATCGTCAATGCCGACCCCAGCGACTTCGATGAGCTAGCGTACTCCGACTACCAGTCGATGGCAACCAAGGTCGTCAAGTTCCTGTGCACCACTTTGATGGGCCAGTTCACCGTAGAGGATCTCCAGGCCAGGCAAGCTGTCATCTTAACTGTGGTAGGTGTCGCACGTTCCCCCCTCCTGGTGTAAGACATCGCCAGATAAGGTTTGAGCGGGCTCGTGTTCGGATTCGGATGCGTCCTGGGGCGCCGTGTAGGTTTCTTCAGGTCCTCCTGGGGGGCCCTTGTTGGGCTTGACTGGTGATCGTCGCTCGAGGGGTTCTTTGAACCCCAATGCATTCGCGGTGGGCGAGGTGCGTCACCGACCCAATTAGATGACCGCTCAGGGTAAGCTGTCATCTGCGATGCACGCCGAGGCTTCGGAGGACATGTTGCATGATGTCTATTGGGTCGGGCACATCTTCGAACATCTGCTCAACTTTGCACCGAAGTGGACCCGCCTCCACGTTGCCAAGGAGAAGGTCCTTATGGCGAACGCTGCAATGGAGCTGGTGGACACCTGCAAGATCGACGCTTCTTGTGCGACGGGGCTCCGCGAGTGGACCGCACTCTACGGGCTGGACCAGCAGTTGCTGGTGACGTTGCAGGGCGCCGCCGACGGCGCGCCCAACGAGCTCTTCGAGGCAGAGTTCGTGGATTTCCTTCGGTGCTTGACGGACGCCTGGTCTACCGTGCAGGTTGCAACCCCTCTTGCATCGTTCGTTCAGCGCGTGGTGCACTCAGCCCACCTCTCAGACACCTTCCTCTCCGTCGCAGAGGAGTTCGACGCAAAGCTGCCCGATGACGTCAAGCTGACCCTGACCTCGGCTCGCTCCATGAAGGCTTTGGAGAGGGCTTTCAACTCAAGCAGGGATGGGAGGCCGTGCGGCCTCATCGAGCTGACGGGCATCCTCACCGACTGCACCGCATGCACCAATGCGGTCCGTGACATCGGGACCTTCGCGAAGCAGGAGAAAGACATGGTGAGGCTTTGGAAGGTCTTGCTGCGCGACGCCGTCACGCCCGACATGGCCGCCGAGGTGAAGGATTTTCTGAGCAAGTACGGTGTCGACACCTTGGCGCCAGCCTTGGACTCGTGGACTTTCACTAAAGAGCTTGCCTTCATCACCGATGACAAGGCTGATGTGCAGTGGGATGCGAAGATCAAGCGCCTGGGGAAATGCATCAACGCATCGCCGACCAATGAGCGCATCATTGAGTTCCTGGGCGCTAACATGACAGCGCTTCACTGGGCTTCAGATGCTGAGAAGGATGAGATCCGCTCCTTGACCAAGGGCGCAGCGCATCGCACGGCTGAGTGTGTACAGGTAGGCGTGGCCGTGTCTTGCCTCGCGCTGGCCAACTGCATATGCGCCGCGCCTGAGAGCTCTCGCCAGCGCGCCCTTGACATGTCAGTGCAAATGATTTTCAAACGCTTTGCTACCAAGCTCGAGGCCCTCCCGAAGAGCCTGCAGACCAAAGTCTCAGACACGCTCGGTGGTCAGGTCTCGGCGGGGCCCTCCAAAGGTTCAAAGCTCGGTGCTGAGTCTGATGTGATTATCGTTGCAGGGTCGACCGATCAGTCTACTGCAGCCTCTTCCGCAAAGCCTTCCAAGAGGAAGGTTCCCAAGAAAAAGGTTGTGGACTAGGAACGGTGCAAGGTCAGTTCTTGCGCGTCCAGTTCTTCTTCGCCTGGCCCGTGCAAGTCTGCGAGCGCGACCTCGGAAGCAACCGAACACATGTCGAAACACATGCCACACATCATGCACACACAATTGTACCAATGGTCAGCTCACGAAGTTTCGTTGTAGGGGAACGCTTGCTGGAGAGCCCACCACAGGGTGGGGCTGTGTTGGGTTGGACTCAGTACGAGTCCGCGCGGTTGCTCGCCGCCGCCAGGACACTCCCAGCAGCACAATACACGTGGCGCCAGCGGCACCTCTTGCTTCACTGCAGTTGCAAACAGAGGAAACCAGCCATCCCGACATCCCCACCATGGTCTCCTGTTCCTCTTCCTCCTCCTCCAATTCCCTTCTCCCTCAGCCCCCCTTCCCCTTCGCCCCGCACCCTTGTTGATGCTCTTTTCGGCCCTCGCCTCTCACTGCCGCCGTCGCCGACGCCGTCGCCGACGTGGGTGTCCTGAGCCTCGACGGCGCGGCGAGGCTCACGATGCCCACGTCGGCGACGACGACGTTCGTCGTTCGCCGCGCCCGCCGACGACGCCAACTTCGAGGCGCGTGGTGCCGCCAGGGGACGGGGAGGGAGGGGGGGCGGGACGGGGGCGGAGGGACGGGGAGGGAGGGGGCGGACAGGAGGAGAGAATACAGGACGATCAGCGACGCCAGAAACGGATAGTGGGGGTGGGAGGAATGGGCGAGGATGAAGCTGGAAGCAGACGAAGGAGGAGGAGGGACGTGCACGATGAGACAGCGAGGGGGGGATGAGGAGGACGAGGCGACTACGGAGGGACCGACGGGATGAGGAAGGACACGGAAGAGGAGGAGAGGGAGGAACCAGGAAGAGGAGGGAGTAGCAGGCGAGGGGCTACTGTTCTTTGGCTCAACGATTTAGGCCCCTAGGCGATTTGGGTAAATGCGATTTCGGTGTCCAGGTGCTCGTTTGCACTTTGATTTTTGCACCTGGGTCAGGGCTGATTTTTGAGTTTCTTACCCAGGGGCCAAACTTGATATGCTGGTTTAACCCATGGGGCGCGTCCGAAACAAGCGCCTACGCGCACCTCCCTTTGCACCTCTACCTTTATGTCAGATTGCCCCATGCAACTCTGAACGCCCTGGAAGCTTGGTTAACTACCTGGCCCCCGATCCACCTGCAAAGCTCCTTGGAAAAAGCTCACGAGGGCTTTAAACTTGTTCAAATAATTCGGGGTGTCTGGATGGCATGCTGCACCTAACTCAGCACACTCGTCGGCTTTGTCGTTGCCACGCTTGTGCACTTCTGTCGTGCGGCCCTCGCGCACGTCAATCATTATGCTGTGCGCGTGGACTTTGACGGCCTGCAAGCCGTCCTCAAACACGTGCCGCACACGCTGCCGCAAGTGCGCACGCTCATGCATGCTGCTCACCGACCACGCACGATCACGAGTCCACTTCAAAGTGCCTGCGCAATCGGTGTGCAAACAAAAATCTCCAAACACGCACTCACATGCCATCCTCACTGCATCATATTCTCCATTTCGCGCCTGCTGCAATCGGCATTCCTGGAAAGGGGCCGCGCCATATGCTGCTGCTGTGAATCTTCCTTCGTCGTCAAACATGACGAGCGACCAGCCTGCTCTCCTCCTCCTCCTCATCCTCCTTCTCTCCTCGTCCTCCTCCTCCTCCTCCTTCTCCTCCCTTTCTCCTCCTTTTCCTCCTCCTCCATTCTCCGTCTCCTCCCCCTCCGCCTCCTCCTTCTCCGACTCCTCCTCATCCGCCTCCTCCTCCGCCTTTTCCTTTCTTTTATAAATAATTGCTGGCTGTCGCACCCCGATGCCGGTCGAAAGGGCGGGCCGGGCGTTTCCCTTGAGATTTCTTCATCGCGTATGGCCCTGAAGCATAGGAGTTGGCAACCATTTCGCAGATGGAGGGCATGTCGTTTTAGCGTCGCGCACATTCGTTGTCAACATCGCAAGAGTTTGAGGGCGGGTGGTTTGCAAAATGCGGTTCTGGCCTCAGCGCCGCGCACATTCGTCCGACAAATTTGCGAGAGCTTCATGGATTGACCCCATTCAGTCAGGCTCAAGCCCACTCGGTCTTGCCAGATCCCGGGCCCAATCCGGCTCGGCCCGGCCCCAGAACCCTTCATCGTTCTGACCACGACTTCCCAGGGTCGGGGGCGGAAAAGAGGGGGGTGATGACTAGGGGGGGGTGGATATCATGGCGTGGGCCATGATATTTCCCCAGATTTCATGGCGCCTCTTCTCATTTCATTACGTCCCTGGCCCCCCCGCTGGGCCGCGCACGTGCCGGCGGTCATGATTTGCGCCCCCCCCCCTCTTGGACACCCCCCTCTTGGCCGCTCCCGACTTCATCGTTCTGACCACGACTTCCCAGGGGTCGACTTCCCCCGAGGTGGGGGCTGCCCTCCTCCACCTCCTCTCCTCTCCTCCCCTCCCCCGGGCTCGCCCGCTCGCCCCCCTCCCTTTGCCAGCTCCCTGTGCCTGGCATCGCCTTCTCTCAGAGCCCCGAATCATCAGGGGTAACTCGGGTCAGGGATAACTCGGGTTCCTTTTTCGGGAGTCCAAGCCCGAGTTACCCCGGACCCGAGTTACCCCGGATAACTCGGGCGTCCAGAGCCCCAGAATCATCAGGGGTAACTCGGGTCAGGGATAATTCGGGTTCCTTTTTCGGGAATCCGAACCCGAGTTACCCCGGACCCGAGTTACCCCGGATAACTTGGGCGCCCAATTCTCTCGGTGCCGATCTTCGGGGCGCACACCTCAGATTGTCGTCGCCTCTGGGCAGGTCGATCCTGGGGATGGGGACCCGTTCGAGGCTGGTCCTCCCGCCCACGGCCGCGCGGCCGCGCCGCACCGCGCCACGTCCTCAGGCTTGGCGCCGCTCGGACGTGTGCATTTTTTCTCGGCGTGGACCATTGAGGAGCATGTTTGATCATTTGGCGAGAAATGCACGCACGAAATCGAAAAATGCACGGGGAATGTACGTCCGAGCGATGGCGAGCAGGGTGCAATTCCTGGGAGGGTGCAGTCCGAATCGGCGCTGGCAGACCCCCGGGTCAGAGACTGGCCGAGCCCACTCGCGTCCTCTCTTCTTCCATGCGGAAGCGGAGGATCGCAGAGCAGGGGGCTTCTTAGAAGCCCCTCTTCGGACATTGGCACATACAAATTACCAGTGGCGTGTTTTTCCAATCCCAGGACTTTTTTTGAGGGTCGGGGACGACGTCGGGGTGGTGTGGTGTATACTCTTTCCCCCGTTTTCCCTGGGAAGCAACGAAACATGTATACACCAGGATCCCGTATACACCAGGATCCGCTTTCTTGTGCGAGTTTCGGTGAAGGGGCCAGAAAACGCGTCGGTGTGTATAGGGTTCGGCTCCTGACCTTTGCCTTCCAGAAGCTCGCGTTCGCTCATCTCTCCCTCTCGGCCGCGCGGCCGCGCCGTGCTGCGCAACTTCCTTCGGTAGCAAGTCATGGGAGCCTGTTATGCCTCTTAATTCCGTTTCTAGCGTCGGCTAGCGTCGATTAGCGTTTGGAGTCGATGAGATAGCGCCGATTTGGCGTCGGCTAGCGTCGAGTAGCGTCGATGTAGCGTCGACTCGCAAGAGCCGACAAGATGGTATGGGATGCTCCCATGCGTTGCCACCGACACTCCCCCCTTCCCCTGGGCGGAGACCCCGCGCAAGCAGCCCTCAGACCAGTCGCCGAGAGGAGAGCTCCCCCGCCAGAGTGGGGCCGACCGGCGCCCGCCGACCGCGCGCGCCGCCGCCGCCGCCGTCGTCGCAGCCGCCGCCCCTCTGCGGCTGTGTGCTTTTCTGTTGAAGGGGCCCAGGGACGCACAAGTACACAGACCCAGACACGATGGCGTCGCAGAACCAAAATCAGGACAAGAGGTGTTTCGCTCTGTGTAGGTAGGTAGGTCGGTTGGTAGGTAGATGTGTAGGCCTGCATGGTGCATGTATGCATGTATGCATGTATGCATGTATGCATGTGTGTATGTATGCATGCATGTATGCATTCATGTATGGATGTATGTATGTAGGTAGGCAGGTAGGTACGTTGGTATGCAGGTATATATATATATATATATATATATATACGTCTTTAGACGTGTGTATGTATGTATGTACTTGTGAATGCATGAATGCATGCATGCATGTATGTATGTATGTATGTATGTATGTATGTATGTATGTATGTATGTACGTGTGTGGGTGTATGTATGTATGTCTGTATGTATGTGTGTATGTGTGTATGCGTGTGTGTGTGTATGTGTATGGATGCCTTTATGTGAGTGTATGCATGTACGTATGTATGTATGTATGTATGTATGTGTGTATGTACGTGTGTGGGTGTATGTATTTATGTATGTGTGTATGTGTGTATGCGTGTGTGTGTGTATGTGTATGGATGCCTTTATGTGTGTGTATGTATGTATGTATGTATTCATGTGTATCTGTATGTGTGTAGGTATGGAGGTATGTAGGGATGTATGTACTCAGGTGAGTAAGCATGTGGGTGTGCATGTATGTATGCATGCATGTAGGTACGTAGGCGTGTAAATATGTCGGTAGGTAAGACGGTTTGTGTGTCTGTATGTACGTACGTATGCATGCATGCATGCATGTATGTATGTATGTATGTATGTATGTATGTGTGTATGTGTCTATGTGTGCATGGATGGATATATGTATGCATGGATGTATGCATGCAGGTATGGAGGTATGTATGAATGCGTGTATGTATTTACATGTATGTATGTATGCATGCATGTATGCGCGTGAGTGTGTGTATGTGTGTGTATGTACGCATGCATTCATGCATACATGCATACATGCATGCATGTATGTATGTATGTATGTGTGTATGTATGTGTATGTATGTATATGTATTTGTATGTATGTGCATGTATGCATGTATGCGGGTGCGCGTATGTGTGTATGTATGCATTCATGTATGCATGTATGCATGTATGTCTGTTGGTGCGTGTATGTATGTATGTATGCATGTGTGTATGTATGTATGTATGTATGTATGTATGTATGTATGTATGTATGTATGTGTGTGCGCGTATGTATGAATGCATGCATGGCATGCATGGCATGCATGACATGTATGTATGCATGTATGTATGTATGTGTGTGTATGTATGTATGTATGTATGTATGTATGTATGCATGTAGGTGTGTCTGTATGTTTGTGTGTATATGTATGTATGGTTGGATGTATATATGTGTGTGTATGTGCTTGTAGGTAGGTAGGTAGGTAGGTAGGTAGGTAGGTATGCATGGCATGTATGTATGTATGACGGAACGACTGGATGTATACACGTGTATCTGGATGTTGTCACAACTTTAAGCCGAGTAGTGACAGATCTGGCCGCACCCGAACTGTGTTCCGTAATTCTCAAGGCTCAAGCAGGCCACGGCCTATGCACGTTTTTCGGCAGGCAGCGCGCGAGGTTCTTCCCGAACTCGCCAGAGGAGTCTCGAATAGTCTCCTTCTCTGGGCCAATAGTGGGCAGGGCTGCTCGGACTGCGCGCCAGTGGTGCATTGCGATTGCCCTCCCGTGGAGCCAACCAGCTTCAAGGAGGTGATCCACGAGCGCACGCCGGCGCTGGAGCAGGCGGGTCTGCTCGCCGGGGTCCTGGCCACAGGCGTCCTCATCGGGGTGCAGTTCGAGCGCCTCGCGCCAGGCAGTGGCGCTGGGCGGTGCGCCAGGCGGAGGCCAGCTGCCCAGGCTGGCTCGAAGGCGACGCAGCAGCTCGGCGAGCCCACGCCGGCGGTGGAGGCGCTCGACCTCGCGGAGTTGGCCAGGGCTCAGTCGGCGGCCGCGCGTGCCCGACGGGCTGCTCGTGTTCAGTGATGGCGGCAGCAGCCGCTGGTGGCCCCCCCCTCGGCCTGGTGGAGGGGGAGTTCTTCGCCATGCGGTACAACGTCGGCGGGCCTGAGCTCTGGCACGCGCGATGCTTCTTCGGCACTCCGCTCACTTACCTCGTGGGCGTGGGCGTCATGACCCCGGACCGCGATGAGTATGAGGAGGAGCTGCTGCGCGGTGGGGATGTGCTCGACTGGGTCAGGCTTCCCGGCCCCGACTCGGTTGTGGCGCAGGCTGGTCCGCACGCCGCCTACCACAGGTTCCGCGTGCTGCCGACGGTCGCCGAGCTCACCCTGGCGCGCGTGCAGTGCTACCGCCGAATGGGGTTAGAGCCCCCGGCAGGCGTTGTCCATCCGCTGGTGGGCGGGGCACCCGCGGCAGGCGCACCCGCAGGGGAAGTTGCTGCTGCGGTTGTCCCGGCTGCCGCGGGGGGGGGTCCAGCGGCTGGCGCTCCTGGCGTTGCTGCTGGTGGCGCTGCGGGCCCCCCGTGGGCAGGCGGCCCCGCCGGCGATGCTGCGCCAGCCGCTGCACCTCCGCCCGCCCCCTTGCTCGCGGCTGGCGCCCCTGGAGGGGTCGCCGCTGCGGGCGGGGGTGTCCCCGCCCCTGGAGGGGGCCTCGCTCGCCTCGCCGCTGTCCTCGGTCCTGCGCCCGAACCCGCTGTCCCTCCCGGTCAGGCCGCGGAGGCAGGAGGCCCTGTCGCGCCGGCCGCCGCGGCGGCGTTCGGAGCCCCTCCACCTCTTCCTGCCGCGGCCGCTGCGCCTCCCCCGGCCATCGGTGCTCGTGGCGACGCTCGGACTTGTCCTGTGCTGTGTGATGCCACGGGCGGCCGTCGCTCTTCACGGAAGATGCGTGGGATGACTGGCCCGTGCGGGGTCCCAGAACTTGTTTATGGGTCTGCAGGTTCATTGTATCGAACGGGTGCACACCTCTCGGACGCCACAATAGATGGCGAGCAGATTGCAAACTTCAGCCTGGCGATCCCCATGTCGACTCGCGCGACTGCGCATGCAGGTTGTTAGAGACCCTGGCGCGCTATGACCAGCCCAACCTGCCGAATGTTGCTTCGGCCGATGGCCGCCCGCGAGCTCCAGGTGGCCGAGGAGCGCCACCGGGGCACGACGCCCACCTTGCGCGAGGCACGGACCTTGTACGTGGCAACTTTTGTATCGTGCCCGCACTCTCTGAGTGGATCGCCAGTGAGCTTTCGAAGGAATACTCTGTGATGAAGGAGCGCCGGAAGGCACGCGGGGAGCGCGTCCTGGCGGTCCCAAAGAAGGGCCCCAAGGGCAACAAAGAGCAGGAGCAGGGGCGATGCTTCCCCGGCCAGCTGCGTCTCCGGCTGGCCAGCCTGCACGAGCTGAAATTAATTGCTAAGAGGCGTCTGCCCAGTGTCCTGCTCGGCATCGGGACATCTTTCCGCTCCCTGCTCCTGGCGCTGGCTCTGGCGCCCGCGTTAAGGCATCTCTCTCACGTGGCACTGCCCGGCGGCTAGCGGCTAGCGCGAAGTTCTCACGCTCTGTCCTGGGCTCGCGACGGCGTGGCTTGCCTCAGCCAGTTTTTCGGTTTCAGTTGTCCGCCCCCTTCGGTGCGGAATGCTAGTCAGGAGTGCGCTCTTCGGAACATCGAGTCGGCTTACCTCGGTGCCCCCCGCCCTTCCTGGCGACCCCTCGTTTCGCAAGGGAGCCCTCGACGCTGGGTCAGGTCTCTATTCTGATGAGTCCTCTACCCAACGGCTGTGTGTCAAGAGCAGCGTCTCTTTGCCCGCTAGGGGCAACGCTCCGTCGGCGCTCGCCGACTGTCTCGCGCGGGCCGACTCGGATTGGCTCGGCCGCTGGCGCGATCACATGCTCAGGTCGCCTGCTGCTGCGGAATCTCTGCGCGCGGAGCTGTGTCCGAATGGGCCCTGCACTGGTCCAGTTCTGAAGCATCACCCGCTTGCCTATGGCGATTTTGTAGCAGAGCTTAGGCAGCGCGGGATGGTGAAGCATCGCAGAGCCGCAGGGCGCTCTGCCACCGTGGGCGTGTTTTTTGTCGCCAAAATCTGGCGACCTCAGACTCATCTTCGACACGAGAGCTGCCAATGCCAGTTTTGTGGGCCCTCTTCGGACACGTCTTCCGACGCCGGGGGCCTTCTCGGGTTTCGAAAACGTAGGGAGGGAGACATTCTTTGCAGCTGGTGACATCGAGTGCGCTTTTTCTAGGCTTGCGATCCCCGACGGGCTTGACGAGATGTTTAGGTTGCCCGCGATCGCCGCTAGGCATTTAGGTATAGTGGAACTCGACGAGACCCCTGCGGCCCCGGATGAAATGATTGCCCCGTGCGTCTGCGTTCTTCCGATGGGATGGTCCTGGGCCCTGCGCATCTGTCAGAGCGTTCTTCGTCGCGCACTGGTGAATGAGGGTTTCGATGCCACGAACACGATCGAGGACGGACTGCCAGCTGTGTCTCTCCAGCGCGCGTCGGACACTGCGGGCGCTGGGTACGTCGATAATTTCATGGTTCTTGGCTCGGATCGAGCCGCAGTTCAGGGTGGCCTGGACAAAGTATGCCGCCGACTGGAGCCGCTGGGGCTTTCAGTGCATGAGTTGAGCCCTGCCAGCCGTGATGTGTCGTTCGTCGGTCTCGAGTTCACCAGCGGATCTACGGTGTCGGTGAAGGCCAAAAACCTGTGGCGTCTTCGGTACGGTATCGAGGCCTTGTTCAGGCGCGGGGTGTGCAGCGGCTCGGCTCTGCAGGTAATCATGGGGCACATCACCTGGATTGCGTTTTTTCGGAGAGAGGTGCTGGCATTTTTCAGCGCTTCTTATAAGTATATGCAGTCTGTGGGCGAGACCCCGCAGAAGCTGTGGCCGAGTGTTCGGCAAGAACTGTAGACGTTTCGGTCGATCCTCCCCATTCTGTTCACCAAGATCGATATCCCTTGGCATAATGTTATCGCCTCCTCGGACGCCTCCCTCTTCGGCATCGGTGTGTGCACTCGTGTAGTGGCGCCGGAGCGTGCTGGCATTGTTGGTCGGTATGCAGAGCGCTGGAGGTATCGTGTGGCGGGCGCTGGGCGAGCTCGGAAAAACGCCCTCAACCTTCCCTCCGACGACTGCGGGCAGCCCGCTGGCTGCTCGGTTCCTGCATGTCCTGATCGGGTGCCGCGAGCCTCTGGAGACCCCGTGGGCAGCACTGATAACGCCGACGAGTTCACTGATGTTCAGAAGTTCCTGGAGGTTTCGGGGGCCAGGTTCGAGGAGTTGCCGAGGGGCATCCTTGAGAGCCCGTGGGTCACCGTGCTCGCCTCGAAGGTCTTCGGGTCCGCCAACATCTTGGAGCTTGAAGGTGGGGCCCTCATGGTGGCCGCCAAGCACATCCTGAGGTCCTCGGAGGCGTTCGATCGGAGGGCGGTCCTGCTGGTAGACAACTTGCCGTTGGCGCTAGCGGCCTAGGCAAGGGCCGAGGCGCTTCTCATTACCTACTTCGGCCTCTTCGCAAGCTGGCCTGTCTATCGTTGGTGTCTGGGTCCCGGCTCCACATCAGATGGACCCCCTCGGAGCTCAAACCTTCGGATGCCCCCTCGCGGGGCAAGCTGGGCTGGTTCGCTGGGCCACATCGCCGAGACCGTCCGCAGTGTAGCCTTCCTTGCTCCCGCACTCCGGCGGCTGACACCCTTCCACCGCTTCCGCCCTTCCCTGTGCTCTCGGAGGCGGACGCCTCTGGTGGCGCCCACGACTCTCGGCATGGCGCCGAAGGCCGCTCGCGGGAGGCGGGCGCGGACGAAGGCTCGACCCACGTCGCGGGCCGGCCTGCTCAAGGGGCAGCGCGCGTCGTCAGCGACCCGCCTGGCGAAGCAGCGGCAGGCGCGCGGCAACCTCAGCCTGCCGGAGCGCCTGGCCGTCAAGCCGGGCACCGAGCGCCTGTACCTGGGCGCAGCCGCCGCGTTCGCCAGCTTCTGCCAGAGCATCGGGGCGGACTGGAGCTCGCCGCAGGAGCTGGGCACCCTCCTGGTCTCGTACTTCAACGCGGAGTTCCTGGAGGGGTCGAGCGTCGAGGAGGCCTCGAAGCTGCTGGCGAGCCTGTCGCACTTCCCCCCGGAGCTCTACAAGGCGACGGCCGAGAAGCTCCCCAGAGCGACCCGCTGTCTGGTGGCGCGGCGGCGGAGGGTGCGATCTGCGCATGAGGCCCCCGCCCCCTCGAGCGGCAGCCCTTGCCCTGGCGGGCTGCCTTCGCCACTTGGGCCACCCGCGCATGTGCCTCTGGGCGGCGCTCACGTTCATCGCCTACCTGCGGCCTCTCGAGACGTTCCAGCTGCGCGGCACGCACTTGGCGGCGCCGAAGATCGCGGCCGGCCGCCAGTGCAGCTCGCGGGGGCTGCTCCTTCACGACGCGTCGGTCGGAGACCCGGGCAAGACGGGCATGTTCGACGCAGTTGTCCTGCTCGACCGCTGCGACTGGCTGCTGCCCTCGCTGGAGGCCCTCAAGGCCCAGTCGCATCCCGACGGCAGCCTCTGGGACTTCTCGCCCGCGGAGCTGCAGCGCCTCTTCGCGTCGCTGGTGCAGGTCCTCGGCCTCGACCCGCTGTCGCCTCACCTCTACTCGCTGAGGCGCGGCGGCGCGAGCGACGACCTCGTGGCCGGTCAAGGTCCGAGGCCCGTGGGCCACCCTCACCAGTCTCAAGAGGCACGGCAAGACCACGCGCCTCATCCTGGAGATGGCGAAGCTGCCCGAGGACGTATTTGTGCTGGGACGAGCCGTGGAGGCGAACTTCAGCAACGTGATGTCCGAGGGCTTCGCGGGTCCGCTGTCGGCGGTGCGGTTGCCCTCGCGCCTCGCCGCTGCTTTGGGCCCAGGCAGCGCCATCCGCCGCGGCCTGCCGGCGATTTCTCCGAGGGCGAAGTCCGCAGGTATCTACAGCGCTGCTTCAGGGCCAGCGCCACTCCACAAGTCCGTTCCATGAAAAGGCTGGTCTTCTTGGAGTTATTCTCAGGTGCTGGCAGAGTTGGAGACGCTTTGCGCGCTCAGGGATCTCTCTCTCTCTCTCTCTCTCTCTCTCTCTCTCTCTCTCTCTCTCTCTCTCTCTCTCTCTCTCTCTCTCTCTCTCTTTCGATATTGTACACGATGCGAGAGAAGACCACCTGGATCCGTCCTTTCAAAAAACCATCAAAGGCTGGCTCTCCTCAGCCTGTGCTGCAGCGCTTTGGCTCGGCACACCTTGCGCGTCTTGGACCCGCGCCTTGAGAAGGCCCATTCGTAGCAGCGACATGCCCTTCGGAGTGCCAGACCTCTCGGAGGCAGAAAAGGAGCGCATCAGGATTGGCAATGCCTCGTTCATGTTCAGTGTCGTGTTGATCAAGATGTGTATTTCCCTCAACGTGCCTGTCTTCCTTGAGAATCCCAGGGCCGCTATCATGTGGTGGACCCCGCAGATGAAGGATCTCATGCTTAGCTCTGTTTTCTTTGACGCCTGCTCAGACTTCTGCCAGTATGGCGCGCCCTTGAAAAGGCGACGCGAGTCGGCGGGTGGCACGGAGGCAGTCCGCTCGACTTTTGTCTCACGTGCCGTGGGAAAGATGGTGTCTGTAGCCGTGCAAAAAAAAAATCGAGCTCTCAGGAAGTGTGCCCGGAGGGCGCAAGTGGAGAAGCATCGCGACTCCGTGCCCTCCCGCTTTCGCTTCTACCGCTGCTGCCTGCGTGATCAGTGCTGCCGAGAACTTGAAAAGTCACCGGTTGCATAGTCTTTATAGTAGCCTGTGATGCGGCCTTAGCTGGCCATATTACTAATGTGGGATCGGGCGCGGTCTCGAGCTCGAGGCTCGATCGAATATTCTTCTCGCTTCTCCCTTGCAGTCTGGGTTTCGCTCAGCGGCGGCACGTCGTGCTGCCTTCGCGTTCCCACCACGATAAATATGCATCGTCCTGGTCAGCGTAGTAAACGCCCGGGCTGGATGTTTTCACACATCTAAGCCGAGTAGTGACAGATATGGCCGCGCCCGAACTGTGTTCCGTAATTCTCAAGGCTCCCGCCCACCCTACCTTGCTTGAGGCAAGATCCCACTTTCGAATGGGGTGCGGTCTCGAGCTCGAGGCTCGATCGAATCTTCTTCTCGTTTCTCTCTTGCAGTCTGGGTTTCGTTCAGCGGCGGCACGCGTCGCGTTGCCTTCGCGCTCTCACCGCGATAGCTATGCATCGTCCTGGTCAGTGTAGTAAACGCCCTAGATACGTACATACACATATATGTATGTATGTATGTATGTATGTATGTATATATATATATATACATGCACACATCTGCCCCCCCCCCCCCCCCCCAGCACCCCAAACGGCGGAGTGAGGGGGAGGATGGGGTGCCCCACCCCCTCAGCGTCCTTCTCTTCTTCCTCCTGCTTCTTTTCATCCTCATGGTTCCTCCTCCCCCTCATGGGGGGCATCCTTCTCATCGTCATTATCTCCCATTTCCTGGTCCTCATCCTCCTCGTTCCTCCTCCCTCTCTTCCTCCTCATCTTTTTCCTCGTCCTGCTCCTCCTCTTCCTCCTCCCTCAGGAAGTGGATAAAAGGCTTTCGACCGGAATCCTTTTGTATGGGCTTTCAGCAGGAATCCTTTTACAGAGGCTTTCAATAAGAATCCTTTCGTACAGTCTTTCAATCGGAATCCTTTTTTCAGAGCTTTCAATTGCAATGCTTTTGTACTGGCTTTCGCTAGGGCTCCTTTTGCATTGGCTTTCATTGGGGTTCCTTTTTGTGTTGGCTTTCAACAGGGGTCCTTTTGTATTGGCTTTCAATCGGGATCTTTTGTAGGGGCTTCCAGTCGGAATCCTCTTGTATTGGGTTTCAATAGAATCCCTTCTGTGTTGGCTTTCAATCGGGATCCTTTTTGTAGAGGCGTTCATTCGGAATCCTTTTGTAGAGGGTTTCAATCGTAATCTTTTTTTTTGTTGCAACGGGTTTCAATAGAGAAACCCTTCTGTATGGGGTTTCGTTCGAATTCCTTGTGTATTTGTCTTCGATCGGAATATGTCTGACTCGCACAAGAAGGGGGCCGACGACCCCACACCCCTTCTGTTTTTCAATCGAGATCATTTTGCATTGGCGTTCAATGCGAATCCCTTTGTGTTGGCCTCCAATAGTAATCCGTTTGCATTGGCTTTCATTCGGGATCTTTTTGTGTTGGCTTCCAATCGGAATCTTTTTGTAAAGCCTACCAAGCGGAATCATGTTATAGAGGTTTTCAATAGGAATCCTTTTTGTAAAGGCTTTCGAGAGGAATCCTTTTGTATGTGCTTTCAACAGGAAGCCTTTTGTATTGGCTTTCAACCGGAATTCTTTTGCATAGGCTTTCGCTAGGAATCCTTTTGTACAGGCTTTCAACCGTGATCCTTTTGTATTGGCTTTCATTGGAATTCCTTGCGCATTGGCTTTCAATCGGAGTCATTTTGTATTGACTTTCAAAAAGGAATATTCTTGTAGAGGCTTCCAATAGGAATCCTCTTGTAGAGGATGTCATTCGGAATCCTTTTGTTAATGTTCAATAGGAATCCTTGTGTAAATGCTTCCAATCGGGGTCCTTTTGCATTGGCTGTCAATAGGAATGATGTTCGAATGGCACCAGGAGAGGGCGGACGACCCCCCACCCTGCAACGAATCTTTTCAGATTCGTTGTCTTCCTCTCTCGTCCCAGGGGCCACCCTAGTGACAGCGTTCTTATAGTTTTTCCAGCTTGTCCAAAGACAGCCCATTGACAACATCCTTTGTGTTTTCCAGCTGTCCCAGCTTTACCCAAAGACTACCCTCGTGAAAAACGCTATCGTTTCCAGCTTTTCCACCTTTTCAAGCTTTTCCCAGGAACTACCCTAGTGAAAAACGTTGTTTCCTCAGCTTTTCCAGCTTTTCCCAGAGACTGCCCTAGTGAAAAACGGTGTGCTGCCCAGCTTTTCCAGCTTTTCCAGTTTTCCCCAGAGTCTACCCTGGTGAAAAACGCTGTGTGTTTCCAGCTTTTCCAGCTTTTCCCGTGTTTCCAGTTGTTTCCAGTTTTGTCTAGGGATTACCCGAATGAAAAACGTTGTGTTTTCAAGCTTTTCTTAGAGACTACCCTAGTGAACAACTCTGTGTTTTCCAGCTTCTCCAGCTTTTCCCAGAGTCTACCCTGGACAATCCTGGATTGAGCGCTGTGTTGCTTAATCTTCTGGGAAAAGCTGGAAACACAGCGTTTTTCATTAGGGTTGTCTCCTTGGGAAAAGCTGGAAATGCTGGGAAACACAGTTTTGTCATCAGGGTAGTTTCTGGGAAAAGCGGGGAAAGTTTGAACACACAGCGGTTTTCATCAGGATAGTCTTTGGGAAAAGCTGGAACAGCTTGAAAACAAAACACAGCGTTCGTCTCTAGGGTAGTTTCTGGGAAACGCTTGACAACACAGCGTTTTTTCATTAGGGTAATCTCTGGGCAAAACTGGAAAAGCTGGGAAACACAGCGTTTTTCATCAGGGTAGGTTCTGGGAAACGCTGGACAAGCTGCAGAACAAAACGTTTTTCATTCGGCCAGTCTCTGGGAAAAGCTGGAAAAGCTGGAAACACACAACGTTTTTCATTCGGGCAATCTCTGGGAAAAGCTGGGAATGCTGGAAATGCTGGAAAACACAGCGTAGGAGGAGGATGAGGAGGAGACGGAGGATGACGACGACGAGCGAATGATCAAGGAAGGTCTTGCGATTTTGTTGGTTTGGGGGTGCTGGGGGGGGCGACTATATATATATATATATATATATATATATATGTATATATATATATATACACACAAGACTGCAGTGGCGCTTCGCGCCATGCATCTTGGTCCTTGAAGTTTGGTCTGCAGGCGGAATAGCAGGAAGGCCAAATCGACAATTTAGCGATAACTCCTTATTGCCTTTTCCGACATCGCCGTTATCAGAATGTTTTTCGTTACCCTTCCTCCATGCTTCTTTTTCTTAATTTTCGCCACACCCTGCGCATTCTCCCCATCCTCCTCAGCTCTTTTTTGCTGAGGCTCCTCCTTGGAGAGCCTTTGGGGGCCTCACAAAAGTTGTTTCAGGCCTTCTTAAGGCCTTCTGGAGGCCTGGGCGTATTGTGGGGCCTCTGGGGGCTTCCTCGGGCCACCCTGCCTCCAACCGCGGTCTCCCTGAACGATCGGGTCACGATTTGGAATGCTTCGGAGGGTGTATTTGAGCCATCTTGGGCCGCAATGGGGCTCTCTCAGGGCCATCTTGGACCCGTGTTGTACCGTTTTGGAGCTCTTTTGGATTGCCTGGAAGCCCTTTCGGATGGTTGTGGGGCGATTTTGGAGCTTCCAGGCGGCTTCGGACGCCCAGAAGACCGCCGTCTTGGAGCGTCGGGAAGCCAAAAAGAGGAGAACCCCAAAATTCACCAACAACCAACAGAAAATCAATGCTTTTTGCCTCTGGGGGCCTTCTTGGGAGTGCTCTTGGAGGCCTCTTTGGGGCCGTCCTGGAGACCTCTTGGGCCATCTTGAGGTCACGTCGGTCACTCTTGGAGCGCTCTTGTGCTGTCTTGGGGGTCTGTGGGATGTCTCCGATGACCCCCCTGATCGCCCTAGGTGTGCTGGGAAGGCTTGGCAAAACGCCCTGCGAGGCCCGGGGGGCCGCTTCGAGGCCCGTCCAGAGGGTCCCAAAGCCCCAGATCCCGGGAGTCCGGTTTTTGGGGGGCGGGGTCCCCCCGCCCGGGCTGGTAAAAAATAGGAAGAGGAATGAATATAAATCATACACACATATATGAAATAATATATATATATATATATATATATATATATATATACATATATATATATATATAGAAATATAGATAGTTTCGGCCTCTGCGGGCCTTCGCCGGGCCCCGGGACCGTCAAAAACGACTCAGGAGGAACAAGCCGGTCCCAGGGGAAGGGTCGGGGCTTCGTGGGTTCCGTATGCAAGTTTGGGGGCACAAATCCCAGGATTCCCAACATTTTCTGTTTTTTTTTGGGTGCTCGTCTTCCCTTCCACTTCCCATGCTTTCAATGTTTCCCGGGGAGGCGACGATTAGTCGTGTTTGTGTGGTTATTTCCCTCCGGAGTTTTGTTGGGTGCTCTGGAGCGTAACGGTCGATATCAGGGCCACTTCCTCCCCCCAGGCTCGAGGTTCGAGGTCCTTCGGGCGTTTTCGTCGCTCCTCACTGGTTCTCTGGCCTCGGGGCGCTCTCCAGCAGCTGCGCCTCGCCGAGAGCGTTCCGGGGCTGCTCAGATCGCCCCGATCGGCCGCCAGAGGCCCGAGCTCCTGGCCCCTTAACCACCTGGGACGGGGGTCGGCTTCTTGGGGAAGGCCCTGACTTCGGCTCACTGTGATAAGTTGTCCGGTCCACAGTTGTGGCGGGAGCGCGCCCCGAGCGATGCGGAGAAGCGGGGCGGACGTCTTCACTTTGGAAAGAGTGCGCAGGAGCAGAAGCAGGAACAGGAGGAAGAGGAGGAGGAGGAGGAGCAAGAGGAGGAGGAGGAGGAGGAGGAGGTAGAGGAGGTAGAGGGGGAGGAGACTGCGGGCGAGGAGGAGCAGGTACTTCCGAGACGGCCCGTGAGAGGACAGAAAGCCTCCAAGACGGTCCACGAGGAGGAGGTGATGGAGGAGGTGGAGGAGGAGCAGCTGGAGGAGGACGCCCACGACGTTCCGACGACCGCCCCCCGCCCCCCGCCTCTTCCCTCCCCTTCGCCTCTTCCCTCCCCCCCGCCAGGCCGCCCTTGCATGCTGCTCCCTGTCTGCCCTGGCCCCGCCGCCCTGGGTATTTTCCGGCCGCTCTGGTGTTTTGCCCGCCGACCTGGGTCAGGGGCCTCGGCTCGCAGGTAGGGTGGGGCGCCCCTCTCACACGCTTGTCCCGGTGGACACCCGCTGCAAAGGTCAGCGGGTGCTGGGGCTGCGGAGAACCAGGAGGAGGAGGAGGAGGAGGAGGAGGAGGAGGAGGAGGAGGAGGAGGAGGAGGAGGAGGAGGAGGAGGAGGAGGAGGAGGAGGAGGAGGAGGAGGAGGAGAGGAGGAGGAGGAGGAGCAGGAGGAGGAGGACCTCGCCGTCCTACCCCCGTCCTGCCCATGGTAGCGGTGGTGGTGGGAAAGTTGCCCATCATTGGAGGAACCCCAGAGCCCCCAGAGCCCTCGTGGGCCTGCCTCGCTGGTGGGGGCGCACGAGCTGCCCGAGCCCGGGTCCGTCCGCCGCCCCCGGCGCGCCGCCCATCATCGACTAGACGTAAGAGTGCCTTTAGTTCGGGCCCACTGGGTTCCCCCGATCGCCAAACGCGATGCGGTAGTAGCGTCTTGCGCGTTTGTGTTTGGCCCCCCCGCGGTCCCGAAAAAGCCGCGCACCAAAGGTCACTCTTACCCAGGGCCACTCTTGCGTGTAGTCGACATCACTACTTACCAAGCCACCCCGACCCAAACCCGAAGGTCCCCGACCCACCCGATTTTCCGGTCCTGGGTGCACGGGTTTCACCTTGTTTCCTTGGTGTTCCCGAGTGCCCCCCCCGCTGGAAGTCGACGAACCCGCCGGTGACTTCGGGCTGGGTTGGGGTCGTTTTACCAGCCTGGAACAGGAACATATCCCTATCCCTATGCTGGGCACCTCCTCATCACGATGTCAATCTCAGGGATTCCCTTGTTTTTGGAGGCCGAATCCCTCAGATTGTCATCGCCTTTAAGCGTGTCAATCTTAGGGATAGGGATGCGCTCCAGGCTGGTAATAATCGCTTGGTAGGTCGTCGGCCCAGAGTTCGTCTCGGCATCCCTTCGGGCCGAGGGCCCGCCCGCGTGCGGCCGGGCGGCGGCGCGCCAGCGCTGCGCCGGCGCCGCGCGATCGCGCGGCCCGGGAAGCGTGGCCTCGGGGCGGCCTGGCCGTGCGCGCGGTTGCTGTGCCCGGCCGCGCGCAGCGGCGGGGCCAGGCCGCAGGCGCGCCAAGGGCGATGCATCAGGAGGGGAAAAAACACACAGACACAATGGATCGTCGATTCCCAGGAAAATATGGCAAAACATATGGGAAGTAGGGGGGAAGACAAAAACCCAGGAAATGTAGGAAGATATGGGGAATCTGTTTATTTGTGTGTGTATTTATTTGTGTGTCCTGGGGCCCCTTCAATGTAGGCAACGGCGATGTGGGCTGCGGCACTGTATCATCGAGAACAGCAGGACCCCTAACCCTACTGACGCGATCTTAGGCCCCCGGCTTCGCATCAGGGACGATCATTATGGGCGGTTTGGTCTGATGCATCTGCAGAAGAGACCCCCTATCCCTAATGTGATTGGCCCTCCTCACTAAGGTCCCCTCCCAAAGGGATATGAGTCCTTTTTTGGTTGATCATTGTAGGTTGGGGTGGTCCGTGGCCGACCCGATTGTAGGAAAGCGTGGTTCGTGGTCTCCTGCGATTCTCCGTGCCGTCTTTGCTCGAGACGCTCGCGTGTATCTGAAACGTAGGAGCGTGTGGTTCGCGATGTCCTACAGATCGTTCTGCGCGAGGTCGGCGCCGCAGAGACCAGATTCCCAACATCGCCGCTGCCTAACATCGCTGTTAGCGCAGCCTTGGATAGGGGAGGGGGGAAGGCGTCTTAAAAACACCCCTGTTTCTTGGCACGCGCGGCCCTGTCCGTAGGTGTAGGGCCGGCGCCTTCCAAGAAGCGGCCTCCTTCTATGAAGCTTTCCCCCCTCCCCCTACCCCCTTCCCAGACCCCCGACGTCGTGATCTTTTCGCAACGTCGATCCCTACAGACTGGACCCCTTCCCCGGGATCGGTTTTTCGTCCCGAGTAGTTTTTTGACGATCCTGGGGCGCAGGAAGGGCCCCCGAGGCCGAAAATGGCGAAAAGCCTCCCGCCGTGGGGCCGAAGACATTGAAACAGAGGCCTTCCCCGCTCCCCCTCTCCCCCTGTGCGCGCCGCCAGATGTGCGCGCCTGGCCTCTGCCTCTCTGGCTCGTGGCCCGTTGGTGTGGTCCGTGGTGTGCCCGCGGCCCCCTTGCGCGGGCGCGGGCCCCGCGCTGCCCCGCCCGCCCGCGCCCCCGGGGGTTCTTCGCGCCCCCAGGGGCGTCGTCGGGCGCCGCTGCGGCGCGCGTCGGGGCGACGCCCGTGGCTCCGCACCCCGTGTCCGGGGCTGCGGAGGCAGCTGCGCGTGCAGTGCCGTCAGGCCGGGGAGTTTTCAGAGTACCCGCCACGGTGGGCAAGCCGTGCTGCCTTGGCCCACCCGCTCCGCTAGGGTGTAAGGAGTGGTCAGTGGCACCTCCTGGTTTGAGGTGAGCGTTGCCAGTGACGCTCGCGGAGGCCATGCCAAGAAACACCCTGCTTGCCTCAGGGTGCCCCGGGTTTCTTGGGGTTCCGATGGTTCTGCGATGGAAGGCGCGACGTTCCCACGCCAAGGATCAACGGCGCGCGCGCGCTCTAATGGCGATCGCGGCGCATGTCTGCCCCGACGTGCCCCGCCCCGCCCCAGCGTTCTACCGCCGCTACCGGGCAGAGGGTTCCCCGTCCTCCCTGCCTCTTGGCGGGCGCCGTGTCTGAGTCCGGGGGGGGGCTTCCATGGGCAAGCGCTCGCAGATGGCCGCTGGAAGGTGCTGAGGAAGAGGAGGAGGGGGAGGAGCAAGAGGAGGGTGGGTTAGGGAGAAAACGAGGAATGATGATGATGATGATGCTGATGTTGAGGTTGATGCTGATGCTGATGACGCTGATGATGATGATGATGATGATCATGCTCATGCTCGCGCGCATGACCATGATGACGATGATGCTGATGATGAGGACGATGATGCTACTGATGATGATGATGGCGATGGTGATGGCGATGATGATGCTGATGATGATGATGATGCGGACGATAACGAGGATGCTGATGATGATGATGTTGATGATGATGATGAGGAGGAGGAGGAGGACGACGACGACGACGACCATGACGACGACGCCGACCACGACTACGACGATGTCGGAGGTGACGACGGCGGCGTCGCGTGGCGTGATCACTGATGTCTGCAACCTGGAGAGCGAAGTGCCAGGTTCGCTGGCCTGGCGGGCGCGCTTGGTGGTGGTGGTGGTGGTGGTGGTGGTGGTGGTGCACCGCTCCAAGCGGCCTCCTCCTCCTCCTCCTCCTCCTCCTCCTCCTCCTCCTGCTATCCCTTCCCTGCCTCCCCCACCTCTCCAACCAGATGTCCTCCTCCTCCACAGTTGCACAATATTAATACGACTCTCCTCTCTCCCCTGATGACGTCTGGAAGATATCCGGCACCCCTCCGCCTATTGTTTTTGTACATGGGATTACCAGGAGTTGGGTTATCGCTAGGTTTTTTTTCAAAGTGTTGTTCCCGCGGAAGCGCTGGCCTCATTTTCGGGCTTCCGCTCGTTCCGAATCGTGCTCCCGCTGCAACGCTGGCTTCATTTCCACGCTCTGGCTCGATCCGAATCGTGATCCCGCCTCAGCGCTGGCCTCATTTCCAGGCTTTGGCTCGATCCGAATCGTGATCCCGCTGCAGCGCTGGCCTCATTTCCGCGCTTCGCTCGTCCCGAATCGTGCTCCCGGTGCAGCGCTGGCATCATTATTTCCAGTGCCATGCCACGGCATGTTTTGAAATTTAGAAAATGGCCTCCTGAAAATGTCACCTCCTGAAAATGACATCGGAAGTGATTGCACATTCCGTGTCAATTCGTTGATGTTTTGGGTTTGCCATGCTATGCCGTGGTACTCATTGATCTTCAACACCATGCTACGCCATATAATGCTATGCCACGCTGCGACATCCAATTGTGCGAACAGAGAGGAGATCCACGCCATGGTAAAATATTGGAGGGAGGGGTCGGACGTCAGATCTGACGCGAGCGCACCTAGCTTGTCCTCCCCCCCTCAGCGGCCTCCTCCTCCCCCTCCTCCCCCCCTCTTCCGCCCGCGCGCCCCCTCCGCCCACGCCGCGCCGCCCCTCCCAGGAGGAGCCCGCGAGGCCCGCCCCGCGCCGCGGTTTTTCGCGCGCCCGCGCCCGCCATGCCTCTGCGGGCCGGCGCCCTCGCCGCCGCGGCGCCCTCGCCACCGCGCGCCGCCGCGCCCCGCCGCGGCCTGCGCGCCGCCGCGCCCCCGGCAGCCCCCGAGGCGGAGGTGCCCCCCGCCGCCTCCTGGGCCTCGCCTGTGCCGGCGGAGCCGCCGGCGCCCTGGCGGCGCGCCGCCGCGCGCGGGCCGCGGCGGGGCGCCGCGGCGCGCAGGGCGCTGCGGGGCGCCGCGGGCGCGCGGGGGGCGTCGCCAGGAGCGGCCGGAGGAGGAGGGCAGCGGGAGGGGAGGAGGAGGAGGAGGAGGAGGAGGAGGAGGAGGAGGAGGAGGAGGAGGAGGAGGAGAGGAGGAGGACGAGGAGCGAGGAGCGAGGAGCGAGGAGCGAGGAGGAAGAGGAGGAGGCGGAGGCGGAGGAGGAGGAGGAGGAGGAGGAGGAGGAGGAGGAGGAGGAGGGAGGAGGAGGAGGAGGGAGGAGGGAGGAGGAGGAGGAGGAGGAGGAGGAGGAGGAGGAGGAGGAGCCGCCGGGAGCGGCTGCAGATCGGCGGCAGCGGCAGCGAAGGCGACGGCGGTCGTCGGCGACGGCGACGACGACGATGAGGACGACAACGACGACGACGACGACGAAACCGGCGGCGGCGGCGGCTGCGTAGACGATAATGACGATGACGACGATGATCATCACGATGACGATGACGACGATGATGATGCGGATGCGGATGAGGATGAGGAGGATGAGAATCGGGATCGGGATCAGGATCAGGATCAGGATCAGGATGAGATGACGACGACGACGACGGCGACGAGTAAAGGATACGTCCTTCGGGTGTCGGTCTTGCGGCTCCGTGCTCGCCGTCGCCGCCCTGTCGCCGCCTTTTCGCCGCCCGTCGTCTGTGCCTGGATGTCGGTCTGGCAGCTCCGTGCTCGCCGTCCCCGCCCCAGTCGCCGCCTCGTCGCCGCCCGTCGTCTGGGCCTGGCTGGCGGTCTGTCGACTATGCGCTCTCGCCACATAGATTGCACCACATAGTTTGCATCATATCGAGTGCGTCGCATCTATTCTCCTTCCGAAAAAAGAATAGACTCGACACCCCCCCTTGGGATTATCACCTCCCCATTTCGTATTGCAATTTACGTATGAGTTTGCCCCATCGTCCATCCTAATCATGACTTTGCACCATCCGAGGGGGGCCGGTATCGGCCCCCCCCCGCCGTCCGCTGCAACACATATTATGCGCGAGCATTCGTTCACTTAAAAAGTCAAGTCTCCAATAGTCCCTTGGAACAAAACAACGAGACGAAGTGCACACAAACGCGTCGTCGCGCGCGCATGCCGAAATCATTTGGTTTCGTACGGGTTTCAAAATCGAGTGTCCAAAGCACAGCTAAAATCACATGGTTTCGCAACACGGTTTTCAGCACAAAAACAATCGAACAAGAAAAACAACACACAACATGCGCGCGCTCTCGCGAATTCTTCTGAAAACAACATGTTTTCAACATGTTCAGACAATGCTACCAAACGGGTTTCGCGCGCGCATGTCGAAATCGTTCGAACGCACTTGCGCGCGTGTTGTCGCAAGAATCCGTTGCAAAGTATGAGAAAAGTGCGCGTGCGCGCGTCGTCGCGAGCGCATGTCGAACTCCTTCAAAAATCGTCGGTTTCGTAACGATTTCAAATCCGAGTGTTCAATCACATACAACAACATTTGGTATCGCAGCATAAGTTGTCAAAAGAGGATGCGCTCGCGCTCTTGTGAAATCTTGCGAAAACCATGGTTGCTTGAGCATGTTCATGGAATTCTGCCAAACGGGCCTCTCGCGCCGCATGCCGACATCATTCGCACGCCGTTGTGCGCGTGCTGGGGGGGGGGGGGAGCACGACCCGTGTCAAATGATACCATGCGGGCCTTTCTCGCGCGTCGGCCGCGCGCGCATGTCGAACTCTTTCCAAAACCTTCATCACCGACGCGAGGACGCCGTCATCGTCGTCGGCGTGATCAGCATCGGCGCCCGCACTGGCCGCGCCTGCGTCTTTGACAACATCGCCACCAGCATCGCTACGATCATCATCGTGACTACCGTTGTCGACATTGCCATGATACCGCGCCCGCCCAGGTCGCCGACTCGCATTGAAGTGTTCGCTGGGATATGCCTAGCGTTCAGCGCCACCGCGGCCGCGTCGGCCGCGCCAAGCTAGCTGGCCGCTGCGCGCGCGTGGTTGGGTTGGCGCGGCCGCGCAGATGCACCAGTTAACGCCGAACATGCATCGCGATCGCCACCGCACGGGTCTTGCAAACCAAGTTGCGGGTGGTTGGGTGGGGTGTTTGCAAGCGCGTGGGATGTGTCAATTCGTTTGTTAAAATCAAGTGCACCACATCGATATCACCACACCCATATATATAGTGCACAGCGCAGGCCGCACCACATATAGTGTCCGGCGTATGTTGCACAGCATATATTGCACCGCACATTGCGCCACACAGGCTGCACAACATGGACTGCACATCGTAGATTGTACGACGCTGATTCCACAACATGTATGGTACAACGTATATTGATCCACGCTACACTTCTTTTTCCCCAATAGAAATTCGGGTCGCCCCCCGGGATTACCGACACTCTTTGGGATAGTTTAATTCACATATGTTTATGTCACACTGTTCGTTGTCATATGAATCCGTTGCATCCCAGCTAGACCCGTTATGGCCCCCACGTGGCAGATCTGTCAAGTTGAATTTCGCGCGGGTACTTGTTTTTCGCACGTAGTTATTTTCAACCAGCCGTTGCCCAAACATTGACAAGTTCGACACGCGTGCATCGTCGCGCGCGCATGCCGACATCCTTCATAACCTTTTATGTATCGTAAGGGTTGCAACATTCGGTTCCGCTATATGTTTGTCAAGACCGTCTCAGCGCCCTCTTGCGAGTTCTTAGAAGAAACCATACGTTTCCCAACAATTCCATCCCATGCGACCAAACGGGCCTCTCGCGCGCGCTTGCCGAAATCATTCGAACGCCCTTGCGCGTTTGCATTGGGGGGGTAATGGTCCCTGTCAAAGAACACCATGCGGGCCACTTGCGCCCGTCGGCCGCGCGAGCATGTCGCAATCCTTCCAACACCTTCATCAGCAACATGTGGACATCATCATCGCCATCGGCGTGGCGTCATCAGCATTTGCGCCGTCATTGTCCTTGTCGCCGTCATCGTCATCAGCGTTAGCGTCATCGCTGCTATCATCATCGTGCCCGCCGCTGTCGACGCAACCGTGATACCGCGCCCGCCCGGGCCACCGATTCGCACTGAAGTGCCAGCGCGTCGGCGCGGCCTGCGACATGCGGTGGGGAATCCCTAGCGGTCAGCGCCACCGCGGCTGCGTCGGTCGCGCCAGACTAGCTGGCCGCTCTGCGCGCGAGCCTGCGCGCGCTAGCGCGGCCGCAGCGATGCGCCAGCCATCGCCGAGCAGTCATCGCGGTCTCCGCCGCGTTGGTTCTGCCAACGAAGTTGCGGGTGGGTGGGTGGGGTTATTGCTCCAGCAGGGGAACTGATTACTCCACACTCCGCAACATGAGGCGCGCCACATATGTTGCACCACAGATGTTGCACAACAGCTTTTTCGCCACATGAGCATCTATGTGTATATACTCGCACACATTCATGACTAGAAGTATATTGTGTCTGGCCCACGTTGGGTGACATTACATTCTATCGCTAGAAAGTCCAACGTTCGCTCTGGATTGGTTTTCCCCCCGAACAAGGAACCCATCCGAAACTCCACCGAAACCTCAGTGAGGGTTTTCGGATGGTTCTGGGAGGGTTTGGGCAATTTTGGCGCAAACACATTCCTCAACGAGGGACGACATGCACCGATGAAGCCGAGGCCTCAACGAGGGACGACATGCGCTGATGAAGCCGAGGCAGGGGGGTAGCCGGCACATAATGGGTCTTTGCGGGGGGGATCCCCTCACAGGGATGGCGTGCTTTTCGGAGGGCGACGTTTCTTTTCAACGCCGACCGTATACTAACGCCGCTGCTCGTCCTGGAGTGCCCTCGCCGCCACGGTCGGATTCTCCTCGGAACTTTAGTCAGAACGCATTTCAGGAGAGGTCCGGGGAGTCCTTGACTTTGGATCCGCCGTACTTGGGACGGTTTCGCAAGTGGGGCGGAAAATCCCGCCTTATTTGCCAAGCTCTTTTGATGCAGATTTCTTCCCTATTTTGCCGTCGTTGCTTCCGCAATACTATTGCGGAAGTATCCGCTCTCATTTGATAAGGCGGAATGTTTAGTTGCTTTGTTTCGAATCGTTTGGGGTGCATTTCCTGTACAATTTGTGCCTGAAGATCGACCACGCGGATTTGGATGCAAGGGTGGCGGCATTTGTACTTTTTTCAGGATGCACTTCTTGGGAGGCTAAATTCAGTATCTGCGCTGGTATGTTTCCAATTTGGCTCGAATCTGGCTTAGTTCCGCCTAATCTGGCACTATCTGGCTGAATCTGGTTTAGCCTGGTTTCATCCCAGGCTGAATCCGTTCTAATCCTGCTCAGTGGCTCCTTAATTGGGCTCAAGAGCCGTTAGTCGTTCTGAAGTTGCTTCCTAATTCTTTTGGTTCCTCCAAGGAGGTCCTGGAAGGTCTCGGTGGAGGTCCCCGACCTCCCCGCGCTGCCCGACCTCGCGGCGCTTCAGGCCAGGGTAAACGATGTTTTGGCGTTTTCGTGGGCCATCTTCGTTTTGTCTTCGTTTTGCAGCGAAGGCGGGCCGACGATGATGTGATTATGTTGATGATAATGGTAATGGTGGTGGTAGTGATGGTGGTTATGATGATAACGACGACGACGACGACGACGACGATGATGATGGTGATGATGATGATGATGATGATGATGATGATGACGATGACGATGATGATGATGATGATGATGATGAAGGTGATGGTGATGGTGATGGTGATGGTGATGGTGATGGTGATGATGATGATCATCATCATCATGCTGATGCTGATGCTGATGATGCTGATGCGGACGATGATGGTGAGAAGGATGAGGATGAGGATAAGGATGAGGAATAGGGCGAGGAAGATGATGATGTTGAGGACAAGGACGAGGATGAGGATGAGGGTGATAATTCTGCCTCTGCTGCTGATGTTGTTGATGATGATGATCATGAAGATGCTGATGTGAATGCAGATGATAATGATGATGATGCTGATCGTGATGATTATGATGATTATGATGATGCTGATGATGATGATCATGATGATGATGATGGTGATGCTGATGCTGATTATGTTGATGCTGCTGCTGATGATGATGCTGATGGTGATGATGGTAATGACGATGATTATTAGTATCATGATGTTGGTGATGCTGATGATGTTGTTGATGATGATGCTGATGATGCTGTTGATGGTGGTGATGATGGTGATGATGATGGTGCTGATGATGCAAATGATGCTGATTATGATGATGCTGATGATGATGATGATGGTGATGGTGGTGGTGGTTGTGGTGGGGATGATGATGATGATAATGATGATGATGCTGATTATTTTGATTATGATGCTGATTCTGATGATGATGCTGATGCTGATGCTGATGCTGATGCTGATGATGATGATGTTGATGATGATGATGATGATGATGGTGATGGTGATGGTGATGGTGATGCTGATGATGATGGTGATGCTGATGATGATGATGATGGTGGTGGTGGTGATGTTGCTGCTGCTGATGATGTGATGATGATGAGGAGGAGGAGGAGTAGGATGATGATGATGATGATGCTGATGATGATGATGATGATGATGATGATGATGATGATGATGATGATGATGATGATGTTGACGATGTTGACGATCTGTTCTTGCATTACGCTCGGATGCGCGAGCTCGTTTTGGAGCGCGAAGGCAAAACGAGGGAGAGCGAAAATGCAACACGAGCACAAAACATATGGCTTTGGTCGAGCCCCGGCCGCGAGGCCGCGGCCAGCGCCCTGGCGAGCGGTCTGTCCAGCACCGCGGCGCAGGCCGCCGCCGAGGCCGCCGAGGGTGCGCGGGCGGGCGCCGCCGCCGCGCCCTCGGCGGCGGTGCCGCCGGAGCTGCTGGCCGCTGTGGCGTTGCCGCCGGATCTTGCCGCTGCGGCCGCGGGGCTGCTGGAGGCGCTGCCCGACCCAGGCAAGGAAAGGGTGCCCGTATTGGGGGTGGGCCACGTTCTGGCTCATTTCTGGCTGAGACTGTCATGTTTTCCCGTACTGGTGGTAATGGTAAGGAGAGGGTGCCCGTACTGGTGGTAATGGTTCCCGTTTTGGGGTGACCCAGGTAAGGAAAGGGTGCCCGTGTTGGTGGTAATGGTCCTGGAACATTTCTGGCTGAGGCTGTCATGTTTTAACACGTCGGGCTCACGTTCGAAGAACATTTTTTGTTTTTGGAACAGCTTGGGGTTTTGAGAACATTTCGTGGTAGGCCTACAGGAATGCCGGGACGGTCGGTCCCTGCTCAAGTGGGTGGCGTGGTGGTGGGTGCTAGTATTTTTGGCCTGCCCCTGGGGTGGGCTGGTGTGGCTGAGATGCCCACGCCCCGTTTTCCCCTCTTGGGCCTCCTGGGAGGCCCTCGTCGCCACCGTCGGATTCGCTTCGAAATCCTGGTCAGAACGCACCCCGTGAGAGGTCTGGGGAGTTGCGGTAGCGATACCTTCGGCTTCCCCGTTTTTTGGCACTTTCCCTCTTCTGCTGGGTACTGGGGGTGCTGGTGACACGAGCGTCTGTCAGACGCTGCCGTCTCTTCCTCCTCCTGCTCCTCCTCTTGCTTCTACTCCTCTTTCTCCTGCCCCTGCTCGTCCTCCTCCTCCTCCTCCTCCTCCTCCTCATCCTCCTCCTCATCATTATCATCATCATCATCATCATCATCATCATCATCATCATCATCATCATCATCATCATCATCATCATCATCATCATCATCATCATCATCATCATCATCATCATCATCATCATCCCCCTCCCCCTTCTCCCCCTCCTCCTCCTCCTCCTCCTCCTCCTCCTTCTCCTCTTGATCCTCCTTCTCCTGGGCGCTGGTCGCTGACGGCATGAGTATCCTCCTGGGATGCGGCCACCCCTCCTCCTGCTCCTCTTCCTCCTCCTTCTCCTCCCCCTCCCCCTCCCTCCTTCTCCTGCGCCTTCTCCTCCTCCTCCTCCTCCTCGCTTCTCCTCCTCCTCCTCCTCGCTCCTCGTTCCTCCTCCTCCTCGCTTCTCCTCCTCCTCCACCTTCTCCTGCTCCTTCGCCTTGCTCCGCACTGCGGGCCCGACTTCGGATCCGCCATGCTCTGGCTGGGTGTGCTTCGCCTCAGAATTGTGTGCCATCTGGGCCGGACGACAGAGGAGGGTAGCGAAAGGGGGGATTACGAAATTTGCTGCATGCAGCCGGTTTCGGCCCCAGCGCCGGGCCCACTCCTCGATATATGGGCGCCTCCCAGCGCCAGGAGGCGCCAGGAAAACCAGCTGCGTGAGCGGACTCTCGGCCCTGCCCTTTGCCATCCTACCCTTTGCTATTCCTCGATGCATGGGCGCCTCGCGGCGCCAGGAGGCGCCAGGAAAGCCAGCCACGTGAGCTGGTTGTCGACCCTCCCCTTTGCTATCCTGCGCTTTCGCCCCTTCCCCCCCGAGCCAGGAGCGCTTCCCTCGACCGAGGTGATCAAGTGGTAGGGTCAAGTCGGGCCTGTCTCTCTACAGGAGGAATATTCAGACTGTTCTAGTCTGGGGGCGATTTCTTTCTGCAATTATTTTGTCAATGTTCGAACACTTTTTTTTTTGGCGGGGGGGGGCATTTTTCTTCCAAGATCCGTCTGTAGGAGGACCTGCCCGACCTAGAGGTAGGGTCCAGGACCGTCCGCCGCGGCCAGCGAACAGCGGGGCGGGCCTCTCCGCAGAGGCAGCGGGAGGAGGCCACGACGGCCGATTGGGTGTGGGGGGAAATCGGTACGAATTGAAAAATAAGAAGAAGAAGAAGAAGAAGAAGAAGAAGAAGAAGAAGAAGGAGCCCGAGTTTTTCCTTGCCGCGTCGCCGATGCGTCGCCGACATCGCCCATGCATCGCCGACGTGTCGGCGCGATCCTCCGACACCATCTACTCGAACCCGATCGCCGAAGAAGAAACAACGAGATAAACATACACTTTTGGCGCTCCGCGCGGATTTCTTGGATCAGCGCTGGGCCCACCCAGCGGCGCCTCCGGCGCCGCTCCTAGCACGCTCCGTGTGCCAGAGAGGGGGATCCAGCGCAGATCCAAGAAATCCGCGCGGAGCGCCGAAAGTTTCTAACCCTCCCTTGGTTGGGTTCTCGTTTTGAATATAGCACCGTGGTCTCCATCACTCCTCCCCCTCCTTCCTCTTCCTCCATTCTCCTCCTCGTTTTCTTCCTCCTCCCTGCCTCGTGACCTCGCCGTCCCTGGGGGGCTACGATCTGCGAATCTGTCGCCATTTTCGTGGGCTCTTGGGAGGTCCAGCGGAGGGGTGTCCCACGTGGATCACCACGAGACCTCGCCGTCCCCTGGGCGGCTGCGATCTGTGAAACTATCGCTACTTTTGTAGGCTCCTGGGAGGTCCAGCGGAGGGGTGTCCCACGGGGATCACCACCAGACTTCCCCGTCCCCTGGGGGGCTGCGATCTGCGAAACTATCGCAACTTTCGTGGGCTCCTGGGAGGTCCAGCGGAGGGGTGTCCCACGGGGATCACCACGAGACCTCGCCGTCCCTGGGGGGCTGCGATCTGCGGAACTGTCGCCACTTTCGTGGGCTCCTGGGAGGTCCAGCGGAGGGGCTTCCCACGGGGACCACTACGAGACCTCGCCTTCCCCTGGGGGGCTGCGATCTGTGAAACTGTCGCCATTTTCGTGGGCTCCTGGGAGGTCCAGCGGAGGGGTGTCCCACGGAGATGACCACGAGACCTCGCCATCCCCTCGGCGGCTGCGATCTGTGAAACTATCGCTACTTTTGTGGGCTCCTGGGAGATCCAGCGGAGGGGTGTCCCACGGGGATCACCACCAGACCTCCCCGTCCCCTGGGGGGCTGCGATCTGCGAAACCATCGCCACTTTCGTGGGCTCCTGGGAGGTCCAGCGGAGTGGTGTCTCATGGGGACCACCATGAGACCTCGTCGTCCTCTGGGTGGCTGCGTTCTGCGAACTTGTCGCCACTTTCGTGGGCTTCTGGGAAGGCCAGCCAGGGGTGTCCCACGGGGACCACGAGGCCTCGCCATCCCTGGGCGGCTGCGATCTGCGGAACCGTCGCCACTTTCGTGGGCTCCTGGGAGGTCCAGCGGAGGGGTGTCCCACGGAGACCACCACGAGACCTTTCGTGGGCTCCTGGGAGGTCCAGCGGGGGGGCGTCCCACGGGGATCACCACAAGACCTCGCCGTCCTTGGGGGGCTGCGATCTGCGAAACCGTCGACACTTTCGTGGGCCCCCGGGAGTTCCAGCGGAGGGGTGTCCCACGGGGACCACCATGAGACCTCGCTGCGTTGTTCGATCGCCGATTGCAGCAGGATGGGGCGCCACGGAGCGCATGGCGTTGTCATGTGCCCGTGCCGCATCGACTCTTCAGTTGTTTCTTATCCGCAGTGCACCCGGGCACTTGCAGCGCTTCGCGCAGGGCGCTGTTCTGTTATAGCGCGCATGGCGTTGTTCTGCAATGGGAACCCAGCGCGATGCGCCGTTACTCCCACGAAGCATATCTCCCGTTCCCCCTCATCAGATGTACCCACGCCTCACGTGGTCGCCTTCCAGCCAACGATCTGACTCTTTAGAGTGATGCCGCGAATGTGAACCATTTGACTATGGCCCAGCGTTCTTTGGCGAAGCGTTGAAGAACACGGCGGATCCTTCAGTGCTTGATTTTGTATTGAGCGGTCCGATGTGTAGTCGCCTTATGTGTACAAAGGGTTGGGTACGTCCCTGACTAGTTTATGTTTATGGCGTTTTTCTTTTTGACTGGGGATGGGGGGGAACTAACACTAAAGGAACTCGATTGGCAGGGCCCCTAACTTCAAAAGGCTTTTCATATTTCACCCTCCCAGCAGTTTTTTTTGCACGGGCTTATGGACGGAATGGGGCCCAAGAGAGATGTGGAAAATAGTTCTGCCCCCTTTCGGAGGCCATCGCTGATGATCGGGGGATCGGGGGGGATGAGATGCTGATGAGGATCCCTGATGGTCAACTGTTGCGGGTGCAAGAAGATCGCCACCTGCTGTCTCTTCCTCATCCGCCGCCTCGGCCCTCCTCCTCCTGGATCCCTCCCCCTCCCTCTCTTCCCGCTCCTCCTCGATCCTGATCCTCCTCCCCCTGCTCCTCCCCGTGGATCCTCGATCCTCGACCCTCGGCCCTCCTCCCTCTCCCCCCCCACCTTTCAGTCGGGCGTGTCCCTGTACAGGAGGAAAATGCAAGAATTGTGAAAATTAATCTGGTGACGATTTGTCATATGTTTTGTGGACTATTTTTAGATTTGTTGTTTGCAATGTTGCATTTGCTTCCAAACATCCGCCTGTTGGAAGAAATGCCCGACCTAACCTTACCTGCGAAGTCGCCCAGAGTACGGCGGATCCTGCGGGGTTGGCTGGAGGCGCTGCCCGAGTGGGCTGCGCTGGAGCCCGTGCTGGCGCCGGCGGGCGCCGGGGCGCTGCTCGTGTTTCTGCTGACGCTGAGGCGCGGGCGGGTGGTAATGATTCAGGAGGGGAAAAAACACACAGACACAATTAATCGACGATCCCCGGGAAAATATGGGAAAATATGGGAAGTGGGGGGGAAGACAAAAACCGAGAAAATATGGGAAAATATGGGGAATCTTTTTATTTGTGTGTATTTATTTGTGTGTCCTGGGGCCCCTTCAATGATGAGTGTCCTAAATTGAGCGACGAGGAGAAAAAAAAACGGGTTCTACTGCGCCGACATTAGCGCGTAAACTGCACGCGTAAAGTCGCGCGTGTGCCGCGCTGGCGGCCCGCGTAAGCTGCGACGTCAGGTCGCTGTGTCGACGTGCCATCTCGCGTAAAACCCGTTTTCGATCGTCGCTCGATTGGCCTTTTGCTGGCTCCAATAGGGACCCTTTAGGGACTTCTTCTTCACCCCCCATGTAGGTCACCACCCATTACCACCCGCTCGAGAGGCGCGGCGATCAGCCCTACACCGAGCAGTTGCCCCTCCGCTACGACGGCCCGTGGATCGAGGCGTGCTTCAGAGGAGGAAAAGGTACCCATACTGCTACCCTTCCCTCGTTTTCCTCTTGTTGGGCCTTTAGGAGGTCCTCGTCGCCACCGCTGGGTTCGCCTCGAAATTCTGGCCAGAATGCACCCTGGGAGAAGTCTGGGGAGTAGCAGTATCGGTACCCTTCGTTTCCCCAGGAGCGGATTCGAACAATTGGGTTCTGAGTACATTCCAAATGGAAGTTTTTTGATTCCGTTCGACAAACCTTTTTTGGGCACCGGTAACTATTTCAGTTCATTTAGACGCCCGTTTGTTAGATTCATTCGCATCCCGTGGATCGAGGCGTATTGGCAGAGGCGGCCGCTGCGCCTGTGGCAGCGCTTTGCCGACGTGGGCGCCAAGTGCGGCGCCTTCAGCCTCGCCATCGAGCTCGACAAGCTCCTCGACAGGGTGGAGGAGATGGAGCCGCAGCGCGCCGTGGAGGCGCGGGGTTTTGCGCATCGAGGCTCGAGGCTCGTCAGAGGACTACTGGCAGAACCCCTAACCTTCATAGCACGAGGAAGGCGTGGCCTCACGTGGGCCCCCGCCTTCGCATTACAGTGCCGTTTTTAATACATGCTCCGCGTGCGGATCATGTATTAAACATGCAGGGAGTTAGTACTAAAAACAAGGATGAGCTCATGCATACATTTATTCATAAATTATTCATGTATTAGAAATCCTGGATTAAAAAATCCTATGTATTAAAAACTGCCCTGTACGGATCATGGGTCTGGGCGGTTTGGTCTGATACATCTGCAGAAGAGGCCCCCTATCCCAAATGTGTGTTGGCCCTCCTAACTCAGGTCCCTTCCCGGAGGGTCAGGGGTACTTCTGTTGCTTATCAGACTAGGTCACCCCGAGGGGCGCGATGTTCATCGCGCTTCGCGCATCGCGGCCTGGGCCGGAGAGGCCGCTCTTCTCCAAGGGCGAGTCGCGGGGACGCGTGGGCGCGGAGATGATCGCGCATCGCGGGGCGCGGTGCGCCGAATCAGGCTTAGCATCGCTCGGACGTGGGCATGTTTTCTTTTCCTCTGCGAGGACCATTGAAGAGCATATTGGATCATTTCGAAAAATAAACGCACGAAATCGAAACATACACGGGAGATGGACGTCCGAGCGATGGCAAGTAGGTGACCTAGGAGGAGGAAAAAGGTACCAATGCCACTGCCCTTCTCTCGTGTTTGCCTCTTCGGCCTCCTTCGGATCCACCTGCTTCTGAACGATTTCGCAAGTGGTGCGGAGCTCTCCGCGCTACCTGTCGAGTTCCTCTCGATGTCGATTTCCGCTCACTTTGCCGTCGCTGTTTCAGCCAAATTTCTGCGGAAATCTCCGCCTTATTGGCGGTCTGAGGCGGAATTTTCCGCCGCAGTAGTTTTGTTCGCATCGTTTGGGTTGCATTTTCGATGCAATTTTAAGACTGAGCATCAGCCAAAGTACGGTGGATCCGAAGTCAGCGAAAGGTACTGATACTGTGACCTTTCGCTCGTTTTCGCCTTTCTGGGCCTCTTGGGATGCCCTCGTTGCCACGGCCGGATTCGCCTCGAACTCCTGGTCGGAACGCACCCCGGAAGAGGTCCGGGCAGTAGCGGTGTCGGTCTACCTTTGTCATCGAGGGTCGAGGTTCGAGGTTCCAGGCTCGGGTTGGTTATGGGGCAACAAAGGATGACATTCTAGGCCTCCTAGATGGGTTCGGAGTAGATGGGGTCGGAGGATCCGGCGCATCGCCGATGCATCGCCGATGCGGCTCGCTGCGGAGCCCGATTTGCTTCACGCCGACGTCGCCGATGCACCGCCGACGTCGACGATGCATCGCCGGCGCCTCGCCGATACATCGCCGCGACATCGCAGACGTATCGGCGATGCGGCGCGATCCTCCGACCCCATCTATCCGAGGTCGGAATTTGCACATGACCACCGCTCGGAGGATCGATTTTCGGGGGTCTCGGCAGGCGGTGGACATGGATACATTCGGGCCCCCGGGGGCTAAACTATATCCGTATCCACCGCACGCTGGGGCACCAGGGCGTCAGTTCCAAGGCGGTGGACAAGGACAAATCCCCGCCTTGCAATCTACAGTCGGGGCCCTGAAGAAGGAACCCTTTTCGTTGGGGAGGGGCTCGGTGTTCCTTGAGTGTTTCACAGCTTACCTCAGGCTTTCCATATGTTTTCCATCGGAAATCGAAGTTGAACTTCTGGAAAAAAGGGGCCTCGTTCCTTATTTAAGGTTCCTTAGGTCAAGGCCCCGACTGTACTCGGACCCCATCCAGGCGGCCTCTAAGCAGACACTCTCGGAGGTCCGCGCGGACTTCTCGGAGCGGCGCTGGAGCTCCGTGGCGGCTCCTCCTCCTCCTCCTCCTCCCCCTCCTCCTCCTCCTCCTCCCCCTCCTCCTCTTCGTGATCCAGCGCCGATCCAAACCATACAGTGGGGGCGCGCATCAAGAAACCATCTTCTTTTTGCCGTTCTCCCTGGCTTCTTCGCTCCACGCGCGGCGCGGTGACTTCCCGCAGCCGTGGAAGAAGCTGCTGCTTCCAGGGTGCTCCGGGTCTCCCCTCAGGTGCACCTCGCGCGCGGGTTATCAGGGTTGTGCTTCTTGCGAGGGTTTCATGCGTCCGCGCCCGCACTGTATCCGCACGGACCTCCAACAGTTTACGTTTCTGCCATTTCTTGCTCCCCGAGATTCGTTTCGAGGATCGAGGCCTGAGGGATAGTTATGTAGTTCGGAACCCGATCATCAACCCGAGCCTGGGACCTCGAACCTCGACCCTCGATAACACAAATAGCATAAACATGAGCTTTGGGAGGTGTTGCCGTCTTTGGAGGCGCGGGACTAGTTTCAAGGATCGAGGCCCGAGGGATGGCTCTGTTGCTCGAAGACGAGAGAGCACCGACATGAGCATACACTTTCGACGGTCTGGGCAGATTTCTCGGATCTGCGCTGCCCCCGCCCCTCGCTGACGCGCGGAGCGTGCCAGGGTTGTCGCCAGAGGCGCCGCCAGGGGTGGGGGCAGCGCAGATCCAAGAAATCCTCCCCAGCCGTCATGAGCTTAGGTTTATGTTGCTTGTCTTCCTCGAACCACATGACCATCCCTCGGGCCTCGATCCTCGAAACGAATCCGCGAATGGGAAGGTCGGCGGGGAGCGAGCGAGAAGAAGCGAGGAGGAGGAGGAGGAGCGAGGAGCGAGGAGCGAGAAAGAGGAGGAGGAGGAGGAGGTGTTGCCGTCTTCTTGAGGCGCGGGACCTGATCACAGACCTCGGGCCTGCGTTCGTGAAGATCGTCCAGGTGTGGGCTTCCAGGCCTGACGTCTTGCCAGAGGCGTACAACAGGGAGCTCGAGAAGCTGCTCGAGCGCGTCCGCCCCTTCGACAAGGACAGCTCGATGAGAGTTATCTCGATTCTGTCGATTCGAATCGATTCCACCTCGAGGATATCGATATCGACCCTATTGGACTCCGCATTCCGACGTCTGTCCCATGCCTCGTCCCATGCCGCCGAACGTCGATTTCGACGCCTGCCGATCTGCCTTCGGATTCCTACCGATTCGGTGCTTTTCGATTGCCGATTCGATTTTCCGAGCCGATTTGGGGCTAACCTGCAAAGGAGGAGGCGATGCTGACACTGCGGCGCAACTTTCCTGGCGAGGGATCGGTGGAGGCCATGTTCGATGACATGGGCGTCTTCGAGAAGCCCGTCGCGTCCGCGTCCATCGGGCAGGTCTACAAGGCGACCATGGACGGGCGCGAGGCGCCGAGGAGCAGAACCGGCACGGACGCGATTGCGCTCGCGGAGGTCTGATTGGATTCTCTGGATCGGCGCTGGACTCCCCTCCCTGGCGCCAGGGGCGCGCCCTGGGGGACGGCGCCGGAGGTTCCGCCACGGGGGTCCAGCGACCATCCCAGAAGTTTCGCGCGGACCTCCGAGCCCTGACAGCCGCCGACCTGATTTTTCCAGCCTGCGGTCCCAGAGGCCCCGACCCCCTCCCCGGGGTCCAGGTTTTCGCTCCGGATCTCCTTGTGTGATGGTCCAGGGGTCAGAGAAGAGATCCTGGAGGCCGAGGCCGAGGAAAGTCCGACGGTTGAAGCAGGCACACTTGGCATCGCTCGGGTGTGTGTGTGTATGTATGCACGTGTGGGGGGCGGGGACCATCGAGGAACATCCAGGATCATCTCGCGAAAAATCCACGCACGACGTCGAAGAATGCACGGGGAATGGACGTCCGAGCGATGGCGAGCATATAGCCAGAGATTTGGTTTTGGTCTTCCTCCAGAGGTGGCGGTGAAGGTGCAGCGGCCAGACGTGCGGGAGCAGGTGTGCCTCCTAGATGGGATCCGAGCAGATGTTGTCGGAGGATCGCGCCGCATCGCCGACAGTCAACCCGCATAGTATGGATGATCGATTTTCTCGACTACACGTAAGAGTGACCCTTCGCCAGAGTGACCTTTGGTGCGAGCTCAGTAGGGTCCCGAGATGGCTGAATTCGATGCGATAGCATCGGCCTGCGCGCTCCGGGTTTGGCCTCCCCGCGGCCCCCGAAATCCGCGCATCAAAGGTCATTCTTACCCGGGGTCACTCTTGCGTGTAGTTGATTTTCCAAGATTGCCCTTGCATCCTTCCCCTTCGTTCCATCCTTGGCCGCTCTCGCTGGCCGCGCCCCGCTCGAAACAGTGTCGGCATGGCCTTCCAAGGCCTTTGCATCCCTACCGCGCATCCTTATTGCACGGGTTGACCGTGCATCGCGGATGCGGAGCCCGATTTTCTTCCTTGCCGGCGTCGCCGATGCGTCGCCGACATCGCCTACGCATCGCCGACGCGTCGCCGATGCATCGGCGATGCATTGGCGATGCGGCGCGATCCTCCAGCCCCATCTACTCTCGAAGGAGAAAAAACACTGTAAACATATTTTGTTTGCGCTCCGCGCGGACTTCGTGGATCCGCGCGGCTAAAAATTATGTTTATGCCGTTGTTTGTTCTTCTATTACCAATACCTCTACTCCCAGGACCTCTCCTGGGGTGCGTTTCGAGCAGAATTTCGAGACGAATTCAGCGGTGGCGACGAGGGCCTCCCAGGAGGCCCAAAAAGGAGAAAGCGGGCCAAGTGTAGAGGTATGGGTACCTCTAGATTCAGGACGCCTCTAAGGTGACCCTCGACCTATATGTCATCCGCCGCCTCGCGGCGCTCGGATCGCTGCTGCCCATCGAGCGCTTCTCCCGCCAGTTCACCTGGGCAGCGCCCAGGGGGGGGGGGCCGCCACCAGGGGAGGTCGCCAGAGAGCCTCCCGACCATTCGAGGGTCCAGGATCGATGCTCGAGGATCAGGAGACCCAGACCCCCTCGAGGCGTAACAAAAAACATGACGGGAGAATTTTCTGTATTTTCGGCCTCTGGGGGCCCTTACTGGACCTCCGGACCATCAAAAAAAGACTCAGGATGAAGAATTGGCCCCGAGGAATGGGTCCATACCTCTGGTGGGTGCGTCATGAAAAATCATAACGTCGGGGGTCTGGGGAGGCCAGGTTGGAAGAAGGAAAAACGCCAGAAACATGAACTTTTGACGCTCTGCGCGGACATCTTGCATCTGCGCTGGGTTCCGCGGCGGCGCCTCCGGCGCCGCTCCTGGCGCGCTCCGCGCGCCAGGGAAGGAGGGCCCAGCGCAGATCCAAGAAGGTTTTACTTCTGCAGCCCAGGTTGCCCGCGCCATTGGTGCCAGAACGGTTTCCGCCAGCTCAGCCAGTGAAGGTGTCCCCTATGATTTTCCGGCGCGCGCCTCGAGGGAGCCGCCGCCAGCGCAAGTCTCAACCGTAGTGTTTCCATTCGTCGGCCGAGATTGTCCGAGTCCGAAGGCGAGCCTCATATGGGGGCTGCGCGCTTTCCTTGGGCGCTGGCTGGTCTTGTGTCCCGTTCGGGGATCGTGCTCGCCAGCCGCGCAACCCAGTGGGGTTAACTATTGCACAGATATTTGCTCATCCTCTTTCGTCTTGATCTACCCGGCTTCCGTGACATATAAAAAATCCCAGAATTCCGCGCTGAGTGTTATGTTTATGGTTTTTGGCTGCCTTCTTCTACGACTCCAGACGGAGTAAGCCCAGACGGAGACCGAGCATTCCGTGTGGATGTCCTCCTTGGCCACCCAGCTCCTCAGCGGAAAAGCCGGTGCAGAGGAGCCCACGCACAGGCCAGCGAGTGACGAAAACAGTATTGTGGCCATCGGCGCCTGAGGTATCGGGTTGGGTCGGGTCGACGGGCCCCTTGCCTTCCCCCCTCTGAGTTGTGATCGTCCTCCTCATCTCTCTCTCTCTTTCTCTCTCTCTCTCTCGGCATCGCCTCAGGTTTTCCAGCCTCTTCGACCTGATAGACCGCGTGGCGCCGCCCTTCATCGAGGATCGGCTGCGCGCCACCGCGCAGTTTTTTGGGGTCGCTGTCCCGCACCTCGGCGGACGGCCAGCTAAGACAGCGGTGGCCGTCCCCGTGGCATCGTTCGGACGTGTGCATTTTGTCTCGGCCACGTGCAAGAGGGGGGGGGGCATGGGGTTGAGGGGGGGTGGCTTCTCGGAGACACGCCTGCTTCTTCAAAAGGCGCGGGCCTCGTGTGCAGATGGAAGGCCGGCGCCTTTTCAGAAGCTGGCTTCGGGGTGAGAGCCCAGACATTTGGCGTCCCCACAAAAATCGTTACCGCGGTTTTTAGGCCGTTTAGACCTCTGATGGCGGTCTGTGGGCCTCGGGACCGCCAAAAAACGATGCGGGATGAAACACCGGTCCCAGGGAAGTGGTCGAGAGGTGGGGCGCCCGCGTCTGGAAAAAATTGAGACGCCAGACCTCCTCCTCCTCCTCCTCCTCCTCCTCCTCCTCCTCTCCCTGCCCCTCGTTGTGCGCGCCGCCGAGGTTCCCGGGATCCTCTCGCGGCAACAGTCAAGACGCGCGAGACCGAGAAGCGCACGGGGAATGTCGAACGGGGCTGGTACGAGGAGGAATGCGATCCAGAGCGTTCGGCAACGCTCTCAGAGCGTTCTGTAGCGCTCTGAGACGGCCGAACGGCGCCTGAGGCATCCTCCAGAGCCGCCGGATCGCAAATATGTTCTATTTATCCTCACCTGATGTTATCCTCGGCCTGGCTTCGTCCTGGAATGGGCGAGGATTGGAGGGTGAAAGAGGAGGTCTGCAACAGGGGGTCTTCAATGGGGGCTGAATGGCCCATGTATGCTCAATGTATCGTTCATGTATGTGAACGGGTACGATTGGCATCCAATGTTGGCGGACATTGAGGGCCAGTCGTTCGTGCCCGCGCGTTGCCCGCGCGGGCACACGCGCCGTCCATCCATTATCGTTCATGCGTGCGGGGGTTCTTGCATATTGCGCGTGGGGCAGCGAAGTGGAGTGCAAGTGTGTCTTGATTGTGCGATTGATGATCGTGTATGTTCCCAAAATGTGAATTCACATTTTCCCTTTTTCCAAAATGTGAATTCACACGTTCCTTTTCCCAAAATGTGAATTCACATTTTGCTTTTCCCCACAATGTGAATTCACATTTTGCCCTGGCCTTCAAGATCCCCAACACTGAGGCGTTTTGTTCCGCATGTCAGATTGGCTGGGCAGATTTCGACACTCACCTGACCGCTTTCGTGTGTTCCAGCCTTTTCTTTTTGCGCCCTCAGCGCACGTTGCCTTTGTCGCCTTTCCCGAGCCCCCCGCCCCCTTGCTTCCTTTCCTTTCAAGTCTCGCGCATGGGTGCAAGCGGGGGGCTTCCATTAGTTCCCCCGCCGACCACAGCAATCGAGGATGCATCGCCCATTCATGGCCCATAAAGACATCATTGCCGGGACCCTGCGGCCGACCCCCACTTTCACCCTCCAAGAGGAGGAGGAGGAAGAATAGGAGGAGGAGGAGGAGGAGGAGGAGGAGGAGGAGGAGGAGGAGGAGGAGGGGAAGGGGTAGGGGGGAGGAGGGAGGAGGAGGGAGGGAGGAGGAGGAGGAGGAGGAGGACCAGTGTAAACCCGAGAGTCATCAACGATGTTGGAGTAAACCCTCCCTCCAAGCTCCCTTTTCATATGCCCCTACAACAGTTCATTTCCATTGAGGGAGCTGCCTCGTTGGAAAACGACCGTCTCAAGACCCTGAAGAATGCCGAAACAGTGTTCTCGGGATTTCAACGCCACGGATCAACTTGACTGCTGCGTTTTGACAATCCAGAATCGTGCCAGAACGCCATTTCTGGGATGTCAACACCGCGAGTCAACATAACTGCTGCACCCGCATAATCCTGAATCCTTCCAAAGCACCATGTCATGCAAATTTTGAAGACGAATGCGCGCGGCGCTAAGGCGAGAGACACATTTTGAAAAGGAACCGCCCTCAATCCGTGAAACCCCTGCAAATTGTGAAAACGAATGTGCGCGGCGTTCAGACAAGAGCAACATTTTGAAAACAACCCGCCCTCAATCCGTGAAACCCTGGCAAATTTTTAGAACGAATGTGCGCGGCGTTCAGGCGAGAGCCACATTTTGAAAACGACCCGCCCTCAATCCGTGAAGCTGCTGCTATGTATTAAAACGAATGTGCGCGGCGCTACGGCGAGAGCCACATTTTGAAAACCACCCGCCCTTTATCTGTGAAATTGTTGCCACATTGTAGGCTTCAGAGTCATACATGGTGAGGAAGTCTCAGGCGGACCGCCCGGACCGCCCTAAGAATTGGCCTCGGGATGCGACAGGGAGAGGTTAGTTATAAGGAAAAGGAATGGAGGAGGAGGAGGAGGAGGAGGAGGAGGAGGAGCAGCAGGAGGAGCAGGAGGAGCAGGGAGGAGGAGGAGGGAGGAGGAGGATAATGGGCGCCCCAGCGACGTCGAGCTGCCGTCTCCTCGACCTCCCGCCGCGGCGGCGCCGCCCCGCAAGCGCGCCACCGTGCCCGGCGCCGACGCCGCCGACGTCTACGATCGATCGCGGTGGGCGGCGACGCCGACGCCGACGACGCCGACGCCGACGCCGACGACGACGACGCCGACGCCGACGACGCCGACGCCGACGCCGACGCCGACGACGGCGACGCCGACGCCGACGACATCGACGCCGACGCCGACGCCGACGCCGACGCCGACGCCGACGACGCCGACGACGACGACGACGCCGACGACGTCGACGACGCCGACGCCGACGCCGACGCCGACGACGACGCCGACGCCGACGCCGCCGACGCCGACGCCGACGCGGACGACGACGACGATGACGCCTCCTGGATGCTTCTACGGCTAGGTCCGCCTCGATGAGCGGGCCGGGATGGACCTCGAGAGGGTCGATGGCCCTCAGGACGTATTTTGGCTCAGTGTGTGTCTGTCTCGTTCCGCCCCGCCGATGGCACGCAGCCAGTGTCGGCCACAATGCATGCCGCCTGCGTCGTACTGAAGAAATGTGGTGGACAAATGGAGGAGGAGTAGGAGGAGGAGCAGGAGGAGGAGGAGGAGGAGGAGGAGGAGGAGGAGGAGGGACGCCGTCGATACACCACCACCAGCCCTGGCCAGGCCCATCCTGAGCCCTGGGCTGGTGTATGAACCTCCAGGCCTGAGCCAGGAGGGCCTGTACATCAGCCCGGGGCCCAGGAGGGGCCTGGCCAGGGCTGGTGGTGGTGTATCGCTTGGAGCTCTTCTGAACACGTTGGCGCTAACACACGTTCTGAGGATCATCGAGAGGGGTCCTGGGACGGATTGTTTTGTTCGTGGGTTGGGGCCGGGCGCGGGAGAGCTGCCCTTGGTCTCAGTTGGCCCTTCTCCGAGGGTCAGGTATATCTCGGGTCCCTGGCGGCCGCTCCGGAGGATCCGGGCACCCTTGGAGCGCTCTTGGTGAGGCGCGGCTGCCGGGACGCACCCCGATCAGGGGCAACGATAGGGGGGATGGGCATACTTGGCATCCTTCGGACGTGTGCATTTTTTCCTGGCGAGGACCATCGAGGAGCATCTTGGAGCATCGTGCGAAGAATACACTCGCGAAGCCGGAAAATGCGCGGGGGATGGACGTCCGAGCGATGGCGAGCACAGGGGTGGACGCAAAGAACCCCAAGCGCTCACTCCTCGCCGATGGGGTCCCCACAGCCCCACCTCGCCCAGGAACGTGCGGATTCGCTATCGGGGGCATACAGTGGTGGCCCATGCCAAGAAACACCCTGCTTGCCTCCAGGGTGCCCTGGGTTTCTTGGGTTTCGATGGTTTTGTGATTGAAAGCGTAACGTTGCCACACCAAAAATCAATGGACGTCCTGGGGTCTCAGGGTTGGGTTTCTTGTGGATGGTTTCTTGTGGTCGGGCCTCCACTGTAGGGTCCCCATAGCCCCACCTCGCCCAGGAACGTGCGGATTCGCTATCGGGGGCATATCGCCGATCTATCGGCGATGCATCGTCGATTCCAGGTCGATCATGCCAGGCCCACGCCCCCTATCGTTGCCCCTCCTCCGAGCCCAGCAAACCGCCGACAACCGATCAGAACGCCCGAGAGACTTCCCTCCTCGGCGCGCCGCCGAGAGGAACTGGACTACGAGTTCGAGGCCAACAGCCAGCGCCGCTTCGCGGAGCTCATCTACGGCTGCGAGCTGGTGGCGGACTCGGTGGCCGTGCCAGAGGTGGTCGCCGCGAAGCGCGAGGTGTTGGTTCAGGATCGATGATCCTCAGAACGTGTGTTAGCCCAGTGTGCTCTGCCCCGCCCGGCTCCGCCGACAGCGCGCAGCCTGTGTCGGCTCTCCCTGCACCGCCTGCGTCGCATTGGAGGGGTTGCAGTGGACAAGCACACGTTTGGCGCCAGCACGTGGTCCGAGGCTCATCGACAGGAGTGGCTGCCTGGCAAGAAGCTCACCGAGCCGGGGGCCGCCTCGGACCAGGCCTCGCAGGTGGTCGGGGGTAGCGTTTCCGAGGTTCGGGGTTTTCGGGTGCTGTCGTCGGTTCTCGATTGCTTTCCAGCCTCGGCAAGGAGGGGGGGCAAGAGGAGGAGGAGGAGGAGGAGGAGGAGGAGGAGGAGGACGAGCAGGACGAGCAGGACCAGGACCAGGAGCAGGAGTAGGAGCAGGAGGAGCAGGAGGGAGGGATGACAATAAGGGTTCGGACCGCGAGGTTCGAGGTTTTAGGGTGTGTTCGTCGATCCCTCAGGGCTTCCAGCGTGAGGATGCTCTCCAGCAGCTGCGCCTCGCCGGGGGCGTTCAGGGGCTGCGTGGATTGTCCCGCACGTCCGCCAGAGGCCCGAGCTATGGCCCGAAAAGTGATGGTCCCCGAAGGATTGCAAAAAAAAACCCGAAGGATTGCAAAAAAACCCTCGAAGGATTGCAAAAAAAACCCTCGAACGAAGGATTGCAAAAAAAACCCTCGAAGGTTTGCAAAAAAACCCTCGAACGAAGGTTTTTTTTTGCAATCGGGCGTTGCCCCTCGAAGGTGGTGAAGGTCCTGCTGAACGCTTACATGGTGCAGTTTCTCGAGACCGGCCTCCTCCACGGAGATCCCCACCCGGGCAACTTTGTGTTGATGCCCAGTGGCAAGATTGGCATCCTGGACTACGGCCTCGTCACACACGTCGCGCCCAACATACGCGTGTCCTTCATCGAATACATCATGCATGTGCAGGCCAAGATGTATGACGAGTGCCTGATCGATCTGATCAACCTTGGCTTTCTCCCCGAGGGACTGAAGGACGACAAGGAGGCGCGCGAGGTGATCGTTCCCGGCCTGGCCAGCACGCTCACCATCCTGTTCGAGCAGAGCGACCTGCGCAAGCAGAGGGAGAAGTTTGTGGCGCAGCGGGAGAACCTGGCGTCCGAGGGGAAGCTGGAGAAGCTGCAGGAGGAGCTGCGGGCGATCGCGAGGAAGTACGGCAGCTTCCGCCTGCCCGGCTACACGACCCTCATCATCAGGGCCCTGGCGACCCTCGAGGGCGTGGGCATGTCGGTGCCCACGTGCCGCGACCGTGCCCCCATCCACGCCGCCGTGGCCCGGGTTCCGGGGGGCGCGACCCCGTGGGTACGCGGTCGCTTGGACATGTCCTGCGCAGGGCATCCGCGACAGAACGCCCCGTATCCGTGGGGTCGCGGCCCAGGTGTCCGGCCCGCGAGGCCGCGGATATGGATATGTCCCCCAGTGGTAAAGTTACGTCGGGCCTGTCCCTCTACAGGAGGAGCTCTATGAAGCATGATGAAGCATCTTCTGGGGACGATCTTGAACTGTTTCGTGTTTGGATCATTCTGAACATGCTTGGAGTGTTTTCTGTTTTTAGCCCCAGATCCGCCAGTCGGAGGACACGCCCGACCTAAGGGTAAAGCTTCGGGTTGAGCGCAGATGGCCCTCCTCAGGCAGTCCAGCTGGCCCCCCGAGTAGTCCTGGTCATTGGTTGGCCTCAACAGGACCCCCCCGGGGCCCGGGGCGGTCACGACGCCTCAAGCTCGGGGCATGGAGCACCCCAGGGGCGACGCCGAAGGCGGTGCCAGGGCGTTGACACCGCCCCGACTGCTCGACTCCTCGGGGGGGCGGTTGAGGCCAGCTGAGATTAACCACTCGGGGAGCCTGTTGGGGCCAGCCGGCGCCACCGGGGGGGCGCGGGGCTGTCCGCGCGTGCGCGAGCCAGTGCCTTCCAGACATCGGGCGTCTCGATTTTCTCGAGACGCGGGCGCCCGACCTCTCGACCCTCTCCCCATGCAGGACCAGTCTTCCTCCGGTGAGGCTCAGTCAGGCGTCCCAGGATCCCGAAGTTGCTGACCCCAGTGAGATCCAAAGGCTTTCTGATGTTGCGTTTCTGCACCACGTGTGGGGCCTGCTCCTCCACGCGGTGCCACATGCTCGGCAGTCGGCAGAGAGTGTCTTCAGCGCCCGTTGTCGGGCGCTCCCATCGCTCTGCGCAGAATTTACTCCGGGTTGTACCCTTACTACCGCGAAGTAACCACGGTCAGTGAAAGCACGAGGCGAGGAGTTGCGTTCTTTTGTCATGCTGCGCAGCACCCCCCCGCCTCGAGATGTAAGTTTGCCTACGCCCACCTCTGGCGTGATACCTACCCCATGCATGTTGGCGCTCCAGGCAAGAGTGGCGGCTCGCGAGGCAGAGGCTGCAGCAGGGTCTGCCAACTGGTCTCGATAGAGTCGCCCTCTAAGCAGCCGCGTTTCGGTATGCTCTTTTTGGTTTTGATTCAAGCCGTTCAGGCCCCATGGGATCGCTTATCAAAATCCCCAGTCGTTCTTTGACCGTCCCGAGGCCCGGTCAGGGTCTTCAGAGATCGAAAACGGCGAAAAACCGCGGTCTCGATTTCTTCGGGACGCCAGGTGTCCGGGTCAGCACTTCCCGCTCCCGAGGTGAACAACAATTTCTCGCTGAATTCGGAGCTCTTCCCGTACATCGCCCGCAGGCTCCTCACGGACGACAGCCTGCGCATCCGCGAGGCGCTGCGCGCGTACCTCTACAGGCCTGGCCTCGCTCGGACGTGTGCACTTTTCTCGGCGAGGACCATCGAGGAACATCCTGGATCACTTAGCAGATAAGCACGCACGAAACCGAGTGGTGGATCATTCAGCAACGCGCACGGGGGATGGGCGTCCGAGCGACGGCAAGCGAGGGGCCGGAAGCGCATAGACCTCAAGCGCGTGGACGACCTCGCCAGCGGGTTCCGCTCCTTCACCAACCTCATGAAGGGCAGCGCCGAGGCTCGGAGGGGAGAGACCGGCACGACCTGAGACCCCTCCGGGTCGCAGGCAACTCACGACGGGAGGTCGCTTGCTGTTGCTGTCCTCGGCCTCTTCGGGGGCCTTCGCCAGGCCCCCTAAACAAAAAATCGAGACGGCGGCCTTTCGGGCCGTTTTCGACCTCTGAGCGCCCTCGCGTCACGGGGCCTCGGGACCGTCAGACAACGCCTCGAGACGAGAAGCTGGCCCTGGGGAGCGCGTCGTGACCTCTGGGCCTGGCATCGCTCGGACGTGTGCTTTTTTTTTCTTGGCGAGAACCATCGAGGACCATCCTGGACCATCGAGCAACAAAAAACACGCACGAAACCGAAAAATGCACGCGAAATGGACGTCCGAGCGATGGCAAGTGGGGGTCCACGCTGTTGACATAGAATGTACGTCGGGGGTCTGGGGAGGAATGAGAACCTCCGAGGGTCCGCGCGGACTTCCTGGACCGCCGCTGGGCCCCCTCCCCGGCGCCCCTCCTCGGGACCGCCTTCTCGTTTGCTGACGGTCCAGGGGCCCAGCGAGGGCCGCCGTGTTTTTTTCGTGTGCTGACTGTCCGTGGGCCCAAGAGGTCATGTGAATGGTACGTTCCAGAATGTCCAAGGTTTGCAGGTTTTCAGGTATTTCCCGATGTGGCGCACCAGCTGCGCCGCCAGGTGCTCTGGAAATCCTGGAACGTATCTTGAGCCAATGCCATCCTGACATCATTCTCGCCCTACCCAGGGGCCGGAAATAGCACAATACATCTTGCCGTATTTTTTTCACGACGACAGGAGGTGCGGACTCTGGGCCATCATTTTGGTCTCCAGCAGCCGTTCGGAGTGATCGGGGCACCCCCGGAATGCCCTCGGCGAGACGCAGCTGCTGGAACGCACCCCGAGACTGGAAAGCCGTCGAGAACCGACGAAGACGCCCGCAGGCCTCGAACCTCGAACCTCGCCGCGCCTTCGAACTCGAGAGGGTCCTTCGATCCGGGAACGCCGCTGGCGAGACGCAGCTGCCGGAGCGAATCCCAAGGCTGGAGAAACGCCCCCGAGGACGGGCGAAGGCCCACGAGAATGCCTCGAGCCTCGAGCCCGTCGCCCCCTCGCCTGCGCAATGGAACAAGAGAGCGGCATAGACACATGCTCTCGAACCTCGAAGCTCGCCCCGACTTCGGATCCGCCGTGCCCTGGTCCGTCCTTCCTCCCAGGGGTGCGGGTGGGCGTCGGCGCGCCGGACAATCGCCACCCACCAAACCTCCCCGGCCCAACCCGAAGGCCCCGATTTGCCGTCCACTCCCAGCGGCGGGGGGCCGGGGAAGCCCGTACCCCCTCCAACCCAGAATTCGGGTCTTCGGGTGGGGTTGGGGTGGTCTGGTAGGTAGTCAGATAAGCGTCGACTGAGCGTAGATCTAGCGTCGATGAGCGTCGACCGGCGTCGATGAGCGTCGGTCAGCGTCGCACCCGCACGAGCCAGGGAGACGGCGTCGATTCGCAAGAGCCAGCCAGGGGAGCGATGCAAAGAAACGGGATCGTCTTCACCGACGTTGTCGCGCAAGCTGCCCACATGAGTCCTCCCGTGCCCAGACCCCCTCCCGATGTGACAAAAATCACGTCGGCAGGCTCTTCGCTGTTTTCGGCCTCCAGGGGCCCTCACTGGGCCCTGGGAAGCCGGTTTTCGGGAAGCGGTTTAGATTTCGGGGTCGACGATGTGAAAAGATCACGACGTTGGGGTTCTGGGTAGGTGCCCGCTTTTCCACGCGGTGTGCAATACTGTCGGCCCGCTTAAGCCACCGCATAAGGTCGCGCTTCAGTGGAAACCGAAGGTAAGGATGGGTCACCCTCCCAAGGGTACCTTTGCATCTTTGCCCCTTTGGTCCATCCTTGACTACTTTAGATGGTCCGCCGTGTTCGAAGAGCCTCGACATGAGCGTAAAAGGAGCTTGCATCCTTATTGCGCATCCTTACTCATTTCTTTGACTGTACGGTACGTAGGTTCACGCGGCGTTGGCGCGCCAGCGACGCTGGCGAATGCGTTCAAGGGTGAATTCTGTGACGCGGAAGCGCCGAAGCAAGCGGTAACGCCATTGGACCCGACGGAATTCAATTTTGAACGATCAGGGCCACGATCGATTCAAGGTTGAACGATCGGCGCGGTGTCAAAAATCTTTGCGCGCGCTGACGCCACGCGAACCTACCGAACGGTCGGACCGAGGTATAAGATCTTTAGGTCGGCTCGGGGAGGGTACCCTCACGTTCTTCGTGCTCGTTGGATGCTCTTGTGCATCCTTGGGGAGGGTGCCCTCGAGTGTTCTTCCGCTTGGCGCGGGCGCGCCAGCTCCGCGCAAAAACCTGCCGTATGTCGCCTCGAAGCCCTCGAGGCCCTCGAAGGCCTCGCGGCCCTCGAGGGCCCCCTCCGCCCCAAGGTGCGGGCGAACGTCGGCGGCGCGCCCGCACCGCAGCAGCCGCAGCAGCTGCACGGCCTGCCCGCCGGCGCCCGGCCCGCCCCGCTGCCCGAGCCCGCCAGCCTGCGGAGCCTGCCGCCGCCGGCGGCCGCCGCTGGCGGCGAGGGCGCCGCCGCCGGCGAGGAGGGCGCCGGGGTGGAGATGGCGGCCAAGGACTCCGCGCGCGAGGTCTCCGAGGTCCGGGCGCGACGATGGTTCGGGCGTGTCTGATGGGCCAATGTTCCACCACCAGTGCCATAGGTAGGACGGGGACGGGGAGGTCCTCCTCCTGCTCCTCCTCCTCCTCCTCCTCCTCGAGTCCTCCTCCTCCTCCTCCTCTCCTTCCTCCTCCTCCTCCCACTCCTCCTCCTCCTCCTCCTCGAGTTCCTCCTCCTCCTCCTCCTCGCTCCTCCCTCCTCCCTCCTCCCTCCTCCCTCCTGGTGGGAAAGCGGCCCATCAGTTTCGTCTGTTCTCGGCGGTTTTCTGGCCTCGAGGTGCATTCCAGCAGCTGCGCCTCGCCGAGGGCGTTCCGGGGTTGCCAGGGTCTTCCCGAACGGCCGCCAGAAACCGGAGTTATGAACTGGAGACCGAATCTCCGGGGAGGCCTATCCTGATTTCGGATCCGCAGTAGCTTGGGCACCCGTCGCTGTTTCTCCCATGCCTTTGCTTAAATATTCGCACTGCCTTTCCGAGGCGGGCATTTTCTGCTCTGTTAGTTCGCATCGTTCGGGGGGCATTCCCGACACAATTGCACGTCGGGGAATCAACAAAGTGACGGCGGATCCGAAGTCAGGGCGGGTGCTGTCGCCCAGCTTCGGATCCCAGAGCCCTCACAGACCTATCAGGCTGGAAAAGCGCCGCAGAAAGATCACAGATATGCGACGCCCTGATTTTCTCAATGCGCGGTCCCCGGAAGTTCCGACTTTCCTCAGGACTGGTTTTTCATCCTAAGTCGTTTTTTGACCGCCCTGAGGCCCGGCGAGGGCCGTCAGAGGCGAAAACGGCGAAAAGCCTCCGTCCTGAATTTTCTACGACGCGATCATGTTTGGGGGGCGGTCTGTAGGGCTCTGGTCGTGCCGTTCCGCATGCTGCCTTCTTTGCCCGAGCCCCGAAGATTCCACTGCCGGTCCCCGAGAGGACATTGCCGTGGTGCTCTTCTCGCCGCAGGGCAACTACCTGCAGGACTCGAAGAAGACCAACTGTGTGTACCTCCAGGCCCAGACCCCCTCGAGTCATGAAAAACTCACGACGGCAGGCTTTTCGCTATTTTCGGCCCCTGAGGGCCCTTACCAGACCTCGGCACCGTAAAGAAACGACTCAGGGGGAAAAACCAGTCGGGGGGCATGGGTCGGGACCTCTGGGGGTCGCGACATGAAAAGTCTGCGACGGAAGGCTTTTCGCTATTTTCGGCCTCTGGGGGCCCGGGACCTCGGGACCGGCAAAGCACGACTCATGATGAGAAACCGGTCCCGGGAATGGGTACGGACCCATTCTTGGGACCGGTTTTTCAAGGGCTCCCTCGAGGGCGCGAAGTTATTCGCGCTTCGCGCTTCGCGGTCCTCGTTCTTTCTCCTTCTCCTCCTCGTCCTCCTATTCTCCCTTTGGGAGGGCGGCGCGAGAGCGCGAAGTTATTCGCGCTTCGCGCTTCGCGCAGCGCGAAGCGCGAAGTTGGGAGCCCTAGGTTTTTCATCCTGAGTCGTTTCTTGACGGTCCCGAGGTTTGGTGAGGGCCCCCCCCGGGAGGCTGAAAATGGTCAAACAATTCCCGTCGTTCACCACCCACCAAACCACCCCAACCCAACCCGAAGGTCTCGATTTGCCCTCCATTTCCAGTTGGGGGGGGTCGGGGAACATCGAGAAAACACGTATGGAACCCGTACCCCCCCCAACCCGAAATTCGGGTCTTCGGGTTGGGTTGGGGTGGTCTGGTAGGTAGTCAGTCGTGATTTTTCCACAGCGAGGGGGTCTGGGCCCAGAGATCCGACGTCCAGCAAAACTTGGAACGGGGGCGATTCGTTTTAGCTGTGTTTAGCCTCGGAAGTGGTCGAGAGGTCGGGCGCCCGTGTCTCGAAAAAATCGAGACGCTGGACGTCTGGGTTTGTCAAAGGTCGTTTTTTTTATCATAGCGTGGATGCCCGGAGGTCTCGACCCATTCCCCTGGGCCCGCTTTTCCTCCCGAGCCGTTTTCCGGCTCTGGCGACGGCGTTCGTTGGCGTTGCTTCTCGGCCGCGCGCAGAGAGGGGTAGGGGAGGGGGTGAGGCTTCTTGGAAGCACCCTGCTTCCTAGAAGGCGCGGGCCTTATCTGTAGATGTAGGGCTGGCGCCTTCTGAGAAGCAGCCTCCTCCTAAGAAGCCCCCCCCCTTCCCCTACCCCGTTCCCAGACCCCCGACGTCATGATTTGTTCATGACGCGCCCCAGGTCCCGACCCATTCCCTGGGACCGGTTTTTCATCCCGAGTCGTTGCTTGACGGTGGCAAGTGCCCCCAAAGGCCGAAAATAGCGAATAACCTCCAGGGGGTCTGGGTACCCCCTTGTGCGCGCCGCCAAGCTTTGTTCCGCCCAAGGACGTGCTGATCGACGAGGGCGTGGCCGCGGTCGACGCGCTCTCGCGCGCGGCCCTCGTGCAGCTCCTCGGCGCCCTGGGCCCTCGGGGGGCAGCGCGAAAGCGGTGGGGTGGGGGGGGGATGGGCTCAGGGCGGGGTGCACCTCGGCCTCCTCCTATAGAGACCCACAGAGACAGGAGGAGGAGGAGGAGGAGGAGGCGGAGGAGGAGGAGGAGGAGGAGGGAGTCATACAGAGCGCAACACATCACTCGGGCACATGCCCAGATGAAGGGGACTGGGGAATCACCCCAGTCGCAAAGTACTTGCACCTGCCCAACACACCATCATTAATGGGGAGGGCTCCGTGCAACAGACATGGAGACATAGGCGGCTTACCGTTCATAAGCTGCCTTCTTTCTTGAGATTTGAGGCTCTCCACACACTTCCTCCACAGAGACAGTGCCTTCGACGTCCCATAGTGTCCACAACGGGTGCACCACACGACGGGGATTTCGGAGCCCACAACCCAGGACACTTGCAAGTGGTGCCCGAACTTGTCGGGATCCCTCAGGACACTGAGCAGGGACGGGATCAAGGCACGGCAGGGGTTCTTGGTACGTGCTGAGACCTTTCTTAAACAGCACACACATCTCAGGTGATCGATGTGCCAGCGAGGGACATGTGGGTTCATTTGGGGCCTGCCAACATGCGGACGCACACATCCCTTGCTGATATGAACAAGTTCTGACGTGGGGGGCCACAGGGTTAGGATTTTACCCATGCCGATAAAACTGGCCTTATGCATGCTTTGAATTGCATTGAGCTCATCTACGATTGACTGATCGAACTCTTCCCTGCGTGCGCCTTGGCCCGCCAACCAATCCGCCGACTTGTTTCCGCGGATGTCCAGCAGGTCAGCGTCATCGAGCGCCTCGCTTTCCTCACGGTGGGCCTTCACTTTGTGGAAGCTGACCCAGCATGAGGGACCTGAATCCTGAGCTACTTGCCTCCAAAAATGACCGTAGTCATGTTTCGGACCCAGGGCAAACGACGGGGAAGCTTGGGCCCTCAGGAGAGCCTTGAAATCAACGTTCTGGGGCCTCATGTCCCCTAAAGACTGCTTGGTGTGAGCGTACGCTTGCATGACTACTGCAATCTGCTCTCCTACCCAGCACATCTGGCAAAGATCCGTAAATTTCTCGGGTCAGGTCTCCTGCCTCGGACAGGGATAAGATCGAGGTCGGTTCGGGGAGGGAGGCCTCTGATCAGGGGCAGCCTAACCCTAGACCCCCTCGGGTAATGAAGAAATCACGACGTGAGGTTTTTGGCTATTTTCGGCCTCTGGGGGCCCTTTCCGGGCCTCGGGACAGTCAAAGAGCGACTCAGGATGAAGAACTGGTTCCGGGGATTGGGTCAAGACTTTGGGGGTCGACGTCATGAGGAAAGCATGACGCCAGGGGTTTAGGAATATTCTTTGTGTTTTTTATTGGTTGGATGTTCATGTGCATCCTGGGGGAGGCACCCTCGAATGTTCTTCAGTTTTGGCCGGCGGAGGGTCTCATATTCTTGAAGGATGTCCTTCTGTCTTAGGTCTGGCTGTACATGAGTTCACGTTGGTTTCGGGAGTACGCACTGCGCGAACGTTCGTATCACGCGGCCGGTCTCGCAGATGGGAGGGCCGTGTTTATGTACGTTGTTGGGCGCGCACGTCCTCTGTAGGCTCCTTAGCAGAGGCGGGTAAGGGGAGTGGGGAACCCAGATTTGGCGTCTCGAAAGAATCGAGACGGAGGTTGTTCATAGTTTTCGACCTCTGGGGGCCCTTACTGGGCCTCGGGTGTGTCACAGAACGACTCGGGATGGGAAGCCGGTTCTGGGGAAGTGGTCGAGAGGTCGGGGGCCCGCGTCTCGAAAGAATCGAGACGCCGGATGTCTGGAAAGGCTTCTTCGAGGCACCCCGTCTTCTTAGAAGGCGAGGGCCTTCTCTGTAGGCCTTCCCCCCCCCCCTACCCCCCTCTGCTGCGGGACGGGAAAATGACCACAGCCACTGCTTCTCGTCTGCGCCGCCTTCCAGCCGGCCGAAAAAGAAGCAGCGGTTGTGGTCATTTCCCTGGTGCCAAGCTCAGCGAACATGACCACAACCACTGCGTTGTTTCTGCGGGCTGGAAGGCGGCAACAAAAGAACAGCGGTGGCTGTGGTCGTTTTCACGCCCCGTTTCTGCGCGCCGCCAAGCATCGACCCGCAATCGCCCACGTCCTCGCCGGTGGAGGCCCAGCAGCCCACGCCGCCCAGCATCGTGCGGCTTCCCTGCCCGGGCCCTACAGTCGGGGCGCTGAAGAAGGAACCCTTTTCGTTGGGGAGGGGCTCCGTGTTCCTTAATTGTTTCGCAGCTTGCCTTAGGTTTTCCTTAGGTTTTCGATATGAAATCGAAGGTTAACTCATGGAAAATAGGGGCCTCGTTCCTTATTTAGGGTTCCTCAGGTCAACGCCCCGATTGTGTCACCGACCCATCGGCGAGGTGTCGCCGATTCCAGGTCGACGTGCTCCCCCCATGCCAGGCAATGCCAGGCCCCCCCTATCGCTGCCCCTAGCCCGAGCCCAGAAGACCGACGAGGACCGACGAGGACGCCCGAGAACTTCCCTCCCCGGCGCGCCGCCGAGGGGAGCTGGACGACGAGCTCGCAGCCAGCAGCCAGCGCCGCTTCGGCGGGCGATGTATCGCCGATAGATCGCCGATTCCAGGTCGATGTGCCCCCCCCCACCAACCCAGCCCCCACCCTCCCCCTCATTATCGTTGCCCCACAGGCCCCTTGGCCTTCCCGGTGTCGGCGCCGCTGGCGCTGCTGCTGGGCGTCGGCGACGCCCGGGGCCGCCTGCTGACTCGCGAGGACAAGGAGGCCCTGCTGCTGATCCGGCGGCTCTCGCAGTACGCCCAGGCGTCGAAGGAGAGGAATAATTCTTTACGTTTCGCGTATCCCCACCAGCCCATCTCAAAACAGCAACTCTTGCGAAGCATGCCGACAGTCGTGTTTTTCAGGCGTGTTTCCGCCTGCCCCCGCATATCTCCCCTGTTCCTCCTTCCTCCCGCCTCCTTGTACATCCTCCTTGTGGTGGGAGCGGGAGAAGGACGAGGCGGAGGAGGAGGGAGAGAAAGCGCTCCTCGTGGTTTGAGTCGTTTGGGGTTTCTCGTCCTGGTGTGAGTCGTTCGGGCCCTTCTTCCTGGTGTGAGTCGTTCGGGCTCTTCGTGGTGTGAGTCGTTCGGGCTCTTCGTCCTGGTGTGAGTCGTTCGGGCTTCTCGTGGTGTGAGTTGTTCGGGCCCCTCGTCCTGGTGTGAGTCGTTCGGGCCCCTCCTCCTGGTGTGACTCGTTCGGGCTCCTCGTGGTGTGAGTCGTTCGGGGCCCTCGTCGTGGTGTGAGTCGTTCGGGCTCCTCGTGGTGTGAGTCGTTCGGGCGCCTCGTCCTGGTGTGAGTCGTTCGGGCCCCTCCTTCTGGTGTGAGTCGTTCGGGCTCTTCGTGGTGTGAGTCGTTCGGGCCCCTCGTCCTGGTGTGAGTCGTTCGGGCTCCTCGTGGCGTGAGGCGTTCGGGCACCTCGTCCCCTTTTGGGGCGTCTTGGGGGCCTCTTGGCGGCCCCAGGGGCTTCTAGGAGCGTCTTGGGTGCCTTGGGGGAGCCTCTTCGGGCCTCTTGGGAGCCTCTTGGAGGCCGTTTGGGGCGTCTTGGGGGCCTCTTGGCGGCCCCAGGGGCTTCCAGGAGCGTCTTGGGTGCCTCGGGGGAGCCTCTTGGGGCCTCTTGGGGGCCTCTTGGGGGCATCTTGGGGGCCTCTTGGAGGCCTCTTGGGGGCCTCCTGGGGGCCTCTTGAGGCCATCTTGGGGCCTCTTGGTGCCTCCTGGGCGCTTCTTGGGGCCATCGTGGAGGGGATGGATCAAAGAAGGGGGGAGCTTCAATGAGCGCTGCCCCCTCAGAAGGGCAAAATGAGCCCAAACCCTTCGTAAAATCAATGATTTTGCCTTGAAGGAAGAGGGGAGCTGTAATGAGCGCTGCCCCCTCAGGAGGCCAAAACGGGGCCAAAACCGTAGTAACATCAATGATTTTGGCTTCAAAGAAGAGGAGAGCATTTTTTTCTGGTCCCCCCCGTCGGGGCCAGAATCCTCGTGAGGGGTGCCGTTTTTTAGCCCTCCCAGGAGTCGAAAAGGACCCCCCTGACCACCCGCGAAAAGGACCTCTCCAGGCCCAGGGGGAGGGGGTAGGGGGAGGGGTAAACCCCTCCCCGAAGGGGAAGGAGGGTTGAGAACAGAGCGGGCTCTCTAAACCACTCACGCCCAAAGGGCTGGTGGGATTTCACGAATCATAATGGTAGCAATCATGCTGATAATAATATTTCAGTAACCATAATTCATAAAAACATAAAAACCATACGACTAATAATGACAATAACATTATTAATACCAGTGCCAAAGACTTGTTAAACAAATGATGTCCCCCCTCTCTCTCCCCCCCAGATCCCGACTGCCATCAATTCGCGCCGAAAAATTATTTTCCCCACATCCGGAGTGTTTTTTTATCTAGACACCCCGCGCAGGAACCAAAACACACACTACATCATCACGCATTCACCTACTCACTCACTCACTCACTCATTCACTCATCATCATCATCACTTTTTCACACAGTCATCGCGTCGCCATCGCTCACACACACACACACACACACGCTTATCACCATCAACATCAGTATCATCATCACCACATCATCATCCACATCAGTAGCAGCATCACCATCACTAACTCACTCATTCACTCCCACCTACTCCTTCATTTACCGTCATCACAACCATCATCGTCATCACTCACATACTCACTCACATACACATTCGCTCACATAAACCATCCTGATCACCTTGACCATCATTCGATCACACACTCACTCATTCACTCACCCACTCGCTCGCTAGCTTTAATATGGGGGAAGTATCAAGCGGGAGGCTCGTCTGTGAGTGAATTGCGAGGCGAGCGGGTCATCCTCGAACCTGTAACTGGTTGTCATTGTTGGGCTCCTGAGGCCTGAATATGGGGGAAGTATCAGGCAGGAGGCTCGTCTGTGAGTGACGAGCAGTTCATGCCATGCTGCAGAGTCCCAAGCAACATCTCTCCAATGCCTGGGTGGACCTTCCGTTCCTGCACCCTTCAAGAAGGCGACGATATCATCTGTGCGTCGACAGTATAAACTTGCAGCGTCGGAGTTCTGCGCGCGCGGATTTCTTCAACCTGTGTTGGTACCTCCTCCTTGGGGCGCGGAGCGCCGCGGCAGGGGCGGCGCCGGAGGCGCCGCCAGGGGCGTCCAGCGCGGGCGGGCGGCGACGCGGGGGCAACACACGCGGGGGGGATCGGAGACTGCAGGGGAGTGGCCCCGCAGGGCTCCCAGAAAGGGGCCCGAAGCTGCCGCCCGCGCGGGTGTTGGCGTGGGTGAGGGCGTGGGCGTGGGCGTGGGCGTGGGCGCGGGCGCGGGCGTGCGCGTGGGCGTTGGATTGGGTGCGGGTGTGGGTGTGGGTGTGAGTGTGGGTGTGGGTGAGGGTGTGGGCGTGGGCGTGGGCCTGGGCCTGGGCCTGGGCTTGGGGTTGGGCCTGGGCGTGGGCGCACAGCGGGCCCTACAAGGTCTACGAGAGGCTCGCGCGTCTCTTCGCCCCGCGGCCCTCGGGACCTCGGGGCCTCGGGACCTCGGGGCCTCGGGACCTCGAGACACCCCGACCCTCACGTCCTCGCATCCTCGAGGCCTCGGCCCTCGACCCTCGCTCCCCGCGCCCTCGATGCTTCAGGGGGGGGGCCCGCGAGCGTCGCGCCCCCCCCCCCCTCTGCGCTGGTGGTGTGGCCAGGAAGGAGCGAGCAGCATCTCGGTGACGGAGGGACTCGTCTGACGGTCTCGCGTCTTTCTCGTGCTCCACAGGCTTATGGGCTGGCTTCGCGGGCGGGCCTCCCGTCCCTCGCAGCCGCGGTGCTCGGCGACTTCACCTGGCATCGCTCGGACGTGTGCATTTTTTCTCGGCCAGAACCATCGAGGACCATCCTGGACCATCGAGCAACAAAAAGACACACGCACGTTACCGACAAATGCACGGGAAACGGACGTCTGAACGACGGCAGGTTCAGGGGGTGGCATCATTAGTATCACTACGTGATGGCGGAGTGCCTGGAGTCTCCCCTGAGGCTGCTTGTGCTGCTCGGACATCCTGCCCCCCCGCGAGCAAGCGCCCGACCAGCACAGAGCCAAGAGCTCCGCGCGGGCCTCCGACAGTTGATTGGCCACGCGCAGAAGGAGGGAGGGGGGGGGGAGGCTTCTTGGAAGGAGGTTGCTCCTGAGAAGTCGCGGGCTGTACATGTAGACGTAGGGCCGGCGGCTTCTCAGGGGCAGCCTCCTCCTAAGAAGGCGCCTCCCCTCCCCCTACCCCCTGTGCGCCGCAGAGTTTCTGCTTGTGCCGCTGCTTCTTCCTATTCTTCTTAGCATTCGTATTGTTATTATTATAGTTCCTCTTCTTCTCCTTCATATTATTATCATTATTATCATTATTATCATCATTATTAGTAGTAGTATTATTACTACTACTAATATTATTGTTGTTATTCTTATTATTATTATTATTATTATTATTATTATTATTATTATTATTATTATTATTACTCTGCTGTATTCTTATTGCTCTTCCTCTACAGGCGGCCGCGCAGCCCGAGGGCCCGCTGGAGCCGGCGGGGCCGGGGCGCTTCGGCGAGCTGGCGCGCGCCGCGCAGGCGCTCGGCGAGGGGAGAGAGGGCCGCGGGCAGAGTCGGGCTCGTGGGGTTCGGAGGTGGATAGACCTCCTACCCTGACACGTCGATTAGTGAATGGGCCGTTTTCGGTTAGCGAGAGGGCGTCGCGGCCGTTATTTTGCGGGTCTAGGTCCGTCAGTTTCGGTCCCAGGTCGTTTTCACTAAACCACGTTTTACTAAAGGGAGGGGTCTGTCCATCCCCGAGTTAAGGGGTTCTCAAGCATGTGCGCAGGAGTTCGTGCAATCGATCGTGCAGTCGATCGTGCTGGGTGGTGCTGGATCCAGTTGTTGGATGCTGGCAGGGTGCGAGGCACTTAGCATCGCTGGTCCGTGGGAGAGGCCACGCGCCACGAGCCACAGGATGAACTATTGCATGTTTTGATACCCCATTACGGAAGACCCCCTTTGCCCGGAACCACACACAGGGAACGACTCGGCCAGTCGAAACTCGGCCAGGCTGAACTCGGCCAGCTGGACTCGGCCAGGCTGAGCTCGGCCTAGGCCAAATTCGGCTGGCCGTCTGCAGCGTGGCCGAGCCTGTCCTCGCCGAGGCCAGTTGTTGTCAGAAGGTACCGATTCCTCCTCTCGTTCCGGAGAGCTCGCGTCGCCACAGCCAGACTCGCGTCGGCATTTTGGTCAGAGCGCGCCCCGAGAGAGGGCCGTGGAGTTTGGAGCCGGCCGGGGGGCTGATGTGGCCCAGCATTTACCAGCCTGGAACATATCCCTATCCCTATGCTGGGCATCTCCTCATCACGATGCCAATCTTAGGGATTCCCTTATTTTTTGAGGGCGCATCCCTAAGATTGTCATCGCTTTTTGGCGTGTCAATCTTAGGGATAGGGATCTGTTCGAGGCTGGTAAAGCATTGGTTCCGGCTAGCAGAGGGGGGGAGAAAGGGGCCCCCTTGTCGACACGGTTGGACGCGGCCGGAAAAATTGTTCCGTTTCGAGCCTGGGAAGCATCCGGGGACCGATTTTGAGCGAGTTTGCCGTCACCCTCTAGACCTCTTGGATGGGGTCGGAGCAGATGTGGTCGGAGGATCGCGCCGCATCGCCGATGCATCCGCGATGCGGCTCGATGTGGGGCCAAATTTTCTCCACGCCGACGTCGCCGATGCATCGTCGAAGTCGCCAGTGCATCACTGACGCATCGCCGATGCATCGCCGATGTGTCGGCGATGCGGCGAGATCCTCCGACCCCATCTACTCGGACGCCATCTGGGAGGTGGGAAGGAGGATAAGACGCTGATGGACGCGGCCGCGCGTCGCACAGACCGGCACTAAACCATGGGTAGGCCATGTAGGCCCGCCCCTTTGCCTTCAAGACGTGCGCCAGCCCACCAAAGGATCACGGCTACGCACGAGGCACAAAACGAGGCCCTAAGCCTCACGAGACACGTCCCTTATGAGACGCACCCAAACCACCTCAGGATCGGAGGCCATCAATGGCCTCGGGGCCGAGGGGAAAACACGTCCTCCCACCCGTCCCTCGTCAGCGGGGTGGGCCCCCGCGAGAAACAAGCGACGGTTTCGGGCGGCACGCTCTGAAACAAAATTGGGGTTGGCATTGCACTGGAGCAGTAAGTGTCCCGCGGTTCCTGTAGTGTAAAACCCGCAAGAGACGCAAAGCACACAGTGGCCTGGCGCGACCCACAGGCGGTGGCCCCTAGAGGCCTGCGCAGGGACGATCCCCAGACGCGGGATGGCCTCCAGAGGCGCCACGTACTCAGCCTCATTGGGCCGATTGTTTCTGCCTGGCCCACTGCGTCTCCTCTTAGTCGGCGGGAGGAACGCAGGACCCTCTCGCTCGGGCACCCCTGAAACTCCCAAGTGACCTGCCTGGTCAACTCGGGTGACAGCCATCTCCATCTCGGCTCTGTCAGCCGAGGAGGTGTATGTGGTTGGGTCAAACTCCACCCTCCTGCGAGTGACGGCAGCACCTGCAATGCTATCTTCATTCGGTCGCTTCCTGCCCTCCTGGCTGTTCCTGAAAGTCCCATGGAAGTCCTGGGAGGCAACAAAGGTCGGACCACAGGCTTCTCCGCCTTCGCCCTCACGATGCGGTGAGGACGAGGAGGGCGACTCCACAGTCACGCCACGGGTCCGAGGAGGCACTCCACCCACCTGGCCCATTGGGCCAGCATCGTCCTTCGGAGGGCAGGACACTCCGTGAAACTCTACTGCGGAGGTCTCCTGAGTGGTCCTGGCATGACATAGCGTAGCCTGCAACTTCGCACGGGTGACGGGATTGCGCGTGCCACGACGGCAGTACAGGCAGCGAGAAAACTTCGCACCATCTTCGAAAACATGACACGCATGTTGGGGCGGCGGCGGGACATCAACCTTGGACACCCGCATCCGATGGCTCCGTCGCCGCTCTCTCCTGTGCGTGTCAACCCGCCCCGTGGAGGCATGATGCATATGCGCCTGTGTCACCCAGCTCAGGATACTCCTAGTGTGACACAAGGCAAGCTTCATCGCCCTGATCTGTGACTGGCTGGGGGCATGGATATCACGACCGCAGCACGCAGCCTTATCAGCCCAGCCATTCGCTCTAGCCTCCTGGGAAAACCCCCTTTGGTGGCCTCTCACGTGGGAGACACGTAGGTCTTCGGTGAGACCACCGAGGTCCTGTACTTTGTGCCAGATGGCCTTCCAAATATCCGAGTTAGGCCGCCTTGGGCCGCATGTGTACTCGGCCCCCCCAGCCAGGCCTTCAACGACTCCTAAGTAGTCAGTGTGGATATGTACAGGGAGTATGCATACCTCCAGAACTTTCAAAACCGCGTGAAACTCAGCCCTCGGGGAACTCTGAATGGGGCCAGGCAAGGCGCCGTACACCATGAGCTCGATATTTTGTGTGTACTTGACGAAGGCCCAACCCGCACGAGACGATTCAGGCCAGCACCATAGTTTTCGGCATGCCCCGTCCGTGTAGATGTCTCCTGTGGTCATCTCAAGGGTGCCATACTCGACGTGCCAGCGCTCGGAGTCATCGCGCTGAGGCAATGCTGGAAAGCTGGATCGTGTGGCCATGCCACGCGTGTAGAGCCAGGATCCCCTCGTCGGTTGCGAGAAGCCTGCCCAGTCGATGCTGGCTGTAGCCTCCTGTCGCTGCCGTTCTCTACTTGGACATTCCCAAACAATGTGATACTGGTCGCAGTATTCAGCATCGCAGTGGGGACAGCATGACACAGCAGCATAGCCAGAGCGATACAGCCTAGACGGGGCCCAAAAGCCCCCGCCCACAATGGTACGGAGCATAGCACTTTCGTTGAATGAGAGGATGCGCCGTGAACCAAGAGTCACCCCCTTCAGACATGTCCTCATCACTTTCGGGAGGGTTGTCAGGGGCCGCACGAAGAAAGGCCAGGATAGGTTCCATCCAGTACCCGCGGGGTTCTTTGGGAGCCATTCCATCATCAGCAGGGTTGGATCGTCTGGCCCAAGACTCCCACACTTTTCGAACGGCAGCGGACCGAGCCAGGTCTCGAACACTTACAGGTGCGATCATGCGCAGGTCGAGCACGTCACCTAGGTCCGTTATGAAAGTGAAAGCTGAAATCGAGCGCCACCCAATGTCACGAGTCGCAAGTAACATAGTACCTGTTGTGCCCGCAACCTGACGCCAAGGTTGAGCATCGGTACGTACTCGAAATACTTGCCGTTGCCAGGCCTTTTGCAGCACATCGTGAGTGATGATTTTGTCCTGAACCAGGAGAGCCCATTGATAAATCGGTTGTGTCCAACACTGGACCTGAGGATCCTCACCCATGGAACCCTGAAGACAGGACGAAAGCCACGCCGAGGAGGATGATCCTGGGGTATACCACGTGCCTCTCAATGTGCTCCGCATTCGGTTGACGAGCGCAGGGGGGGGGGGGCGCCGTGCACCCCTACGCCATACTGCATTGCTGGTGGGAGTGCTTGCCGTGCAAATCGTCCCACAATGGCGCCTGCCTTACGCAGCGTTCGGAGGCGAGGGAGACGACGACGAGTCTCGAGTATACGTTTCCGAAGCCGTCGATACGATAGCTTGCGACCCGCTGCCACCTCCACTCCCAAAACCTCGAGGAAGGTGGCATATCGAAATCCTTTTCGACGGAGCCGATGAGCAACCGCACGACCGACCTGCGGATCCGAAGACGTGACCGTCATCTTGTATGTTGCTGGTGCAAGCTCAATCTCCAAGAGGGTGTCGACCAACTGCGCAAGGAACTCTACCGACGACTCGACAATGAATTTCCGCTCTGCTGCAACTGCAACTGTAATGTCATCGACGTACAGGCCAACCGCGCGACCGATCGACGACGTGCTCGATACGAACTCATCGAAGGGCGAGAGCATTACAAGCTGCAGACATAACATTGCCAGCGGGCACCCTGGCAGCACTCCTCTAGTAGCTCGCACCTGTCGCGAGTAGGTCGATTCCTATGAAAGACGCCTTCCACTGGCATACATTCTCAACGCGAGTACCAGTAGGCGGGCAGGAAATGGACGGGCGCGGCCAGCACGCAATAGTATGACCCAGGGCACTCGATCAAAACACTTTTCGATGTCGATTATGGCCTGAACCGTAGTGAGCCCGTCGGGGCCCGTGTCTGTGGCTTCTGCTTGGACCAACAACCGGGCCGCAACATCCGTGGTCGACTTGCAAGTGCCCAAGGCGATATAGGACCTCCCCAGACGACTGGCCCAACTTCGAGCCCAGTCCAGACGCGCCTTACCCCATAACCGATACAAAGAGTTGAGTAAGGCGATCGGCCTGTATCCACCTGATGGTTTGGCCAATCGCACAATATGAACGTGTCGTAGGATGCGAGGCCAGATGCCCCATGTTTCGCACAGGTGGAGAATGTATCCTAGTAGGGATAAGGCTCCATTACTTGCTAGATGCCAGTGTCGGGGTCGAAACTGGTCTGCGCCTACGGCTGTAGTCGATGGGAACCTCAGGGCGGCCTTCCGAAGGTCCATGATCTTCAG